GCCATGCGCTGCCCAAGCGCCGAGCGAGGGTCGTGGGCCCGGCTAATCAGCCGCCAACAGCCCTTTAAAAGAGCAGTTCTGCATGGCTTGTGGACCCTCTGCCACCCACTCTTGCTGGGTTCACACGTAACAGCAGGAGGGACCCCGTGAGCGCCCAGCGTGCCCGGTGCTGGATAAGAATGCCCCACACTGTTACACACTCGCGTGTGCAGAATCCTGGTGCAAACTCACGGGCTTGTGGCAGGGCTCTGGGTGGTTCGGAAGCCTCTCCTGCCACCCACCACCCTTACCGGCTCTGGACGACTCTAGCTGTAGAAATGAAGCGGTGTCCAGATGTGCGGGGGCGGGGGGGAACACCCTGACATCTTTCCCTTCCCCATTGTGCAAACCTGGCCATAAAGAGCTAAGTTCAGAGAGACCGAGGTCGTCTGAGCAGCGTGGCAGATGCTAATGAGCGATGTCCTGGGGCTCTGATCTGGGGTGGGCAGCCCCACTGCTCCACGACGGGGTCAATAGTTCTGTTCGTATACGGTGTGGCACCATTCTGCTGTCTCTTGTTTTTTGCATCGTGCAGCACCAGGGTTCGTAGGTGGCCTCCCAAGCTGCTTCTGCACGAGCATTTCTTGCGCACATGCGCTTCCTAGTTCACAGTTGTTGAAGCTGTGATTTTCCAGTTCTGCTTTTCTTTTTTCGGAGAACTTCTGCAACATTTTATTTAGAACGGGGAGTGTGAGGTGTTCAAAAGGGCACTCTTCTGGCATATTTGCACTGAGCTGCTGGAGCTCAGCTCTGCCTAGAAGAGCAAGAAATTCTGGGAAACCGGAAAGGAAGCTTTGATCTCGGTGCTGCATCAAAACTGATGGTCGATGCAGCGGTGAACGGCCTCCTGTAGAAACGCTTCCAGAGCCAGCCTCCTGAGCTGGGACAAGGCACCGCCGGGTGGCCAGGGGCCTGCATGCGGAAGGTCCCGGGTTTGATCCCCAGCACATGCGGGTAGGGCTGGAAGCATTGCTGCCAGTCAGTGCCAGCCGCATTGAACTGTGTGGACCAAGGGTCACCTTCTGCACATGGCACCTGTTGTGGTGTGTTCCACACTGAGCCAGGGACCCCTTCCCAACCCAGAGTGTGTAACTTTAGGTGATGCTCGGTGTGCCCAGATCTTTGCAAGCAATGGCACACCTTCTGCCAGAGTCCCTCTGGTTATCAGCCTCACCTGTGGATCAACACTCGGCCGTCAGGTTATCTGTGCACCTACACATGCCCGTTTTGCGCAGAGGTCAAATTTTCATTTTGGCAACAGGGGCCTTCCAGTGAGAAGTAGGTTACACAGAACCCATGGAAGGCTTTCTTCAGATGCATACCGTGCTTCCCCGAAAATAAGACCGGGTCTTACATTAATTTTTGCTCCAAAAGATGCATTAGGGCTTATTTTCAGGTGATGTCTTGTTTTTACTTACGGAAGCTGTAAGATTCTTGTCCTGAGAGTCCTCCACGATTCCTTTCTTGTATTCAATGGAGCAGCTCTTTCTTTTTGCTCCCGTCCTGCATTTCGGATCCATGCATTAAGTGTGTCCGCTGCAACACACGATGCACGGATGTTATCCATGCGTTGTGTCCGTACTCCGATTGGTCATCTGGCGATAAGCCTCACGTTCATCTCTTTACATTGGCATTTACCTCTCGTCCAAAGGCACCCGTTTCAGTATTTACAAATACTCAGGACTTTTTTGCCATAGAATGCACCGGAACAGCGTTCCGGCACCTTTTTTTTCAATGGATTTTACTAAGTGATTTTGAATCGCCTGTCATAGCAGGTCAGCAGCAAACATCATTAACGTGCTGCTTTTGTGTCCGTGCTGATAGTGAGATAGTGAGGGTGCTGCTCGGCTCGCTGCTCCGCTGCTCGGCTTGGGATTGGTGTGTGTGGTCGCGCGCTGCTTACTGCCGGCGGCGACCATTATGTTCATATATGTGACGTGGGTTCCGGCACCTTTTTTTTTTTTTTTTTTACAAAAAAAGCACTGCAAATACTTAATTATAATGTACATTATCATTTATTTTAAGTATCAATGTCAATAATAGTATTTATTTACATTTAATTATATATTAACGTTATTATTTTATAATTCAGTACATCTCACGTGTACTGCAACAGACGTACTGCCATGTTTCCCGTCTGTCTGGCTGACGATCTTAACTGAGGACTATTTTTGGGGTAGGGCTTATATTGTGAGCATCCTGAAAAATGATGCTAGGGCTTATTTTCCGGTTAGGGCTTATTTTTGGGGAAACAGGGTAGTTGAGATGCATGTGTACTTCACTGCCATGGCCAGTTCTACTCTTTAACTGGATGGCCAGGTGGCCGCCCATTAAAGAGCTTTGAGTCGAGAAAACCGGACGTGTATCCTGCTCCTAAGCATTTGCAAGGGCCTTCTGCAACCTGGCGCCCTCCAGAGCTCAGCAGGAGGGCAATTCCCACTTGTGCATGGGAGTTGCCGCTGGCCCCGGCGGGGGGCGGGGGGGCAGCTCCATTTCGGAAGAGTGCTTGGGGGCTGCATCCCAGCAGAGGGTGGCCTCTCCGAGCTTTAGGAGAGGCGTTCCGTCCGTCCGTCCGTCCGTCCTCCTGGGGCAGGTCAACGCCAAGCAAGTCATTCCCAAGAGGTTTAGCCCCTGTGATGTGGGTGAGCCCCAGGCAGGGCGCAGGGCCAAAGGCTAAGCCTGCCTGCCCCTCTGGCTCACAGGAGCAGCCCATCCAGGAAGGAGATGAGTGGCCCTTTCTCCAGAGACAAGGCATGCCAGATTGTGAGATACCCAACCTGAGTCATCGGCTTCCCCTGATAACAATGAGAGCAGGAAGGCAGCTGTGATGACATGGACAGAAAGGCATCTGGGGAAGACTCCTCCTCCTCCTCCTCCTCCTCCTCCTCCTCCTCCTCCTCCTCCTCCTCTGCCGGTCTCATGAGGGCAGCGTGGGGCTTGACCCCTTTCCTCAGCCCTTTTGCCCCGTGGATGCCTTAGGGATTGGAGGAACCGCCGAGGCCGCAGGAGGGCCCTCCTGGAGGAAACAGAGCCACTGTCGTGGCCTGCTTGATCCAGAATTGGTGTGTGTGTGGCGGGGGGGGGGGGGGGGGCAGTGGGGAGGAGGCAGGAGAGGAAAGCTCCCTTTCCAGGGCTTCCTAGTCATCTTCTGCTCACACAGAAGGTGCTGCTTTGTGCTGGCTCTTTCAGCCCCCTCTCAGCCACGCTCTTTCTCCTCCCGAGTCCTTTCTGCATTTTCCTTCAAGCCCCTTGCCCCGTCCTCCTCTGCCCGCCTTCCTCCTCTGCCCCAGTCTTGCTGTTTCTCTCCCACCCAGCCCCTTTCTCCTGGGGTTTCTCTCCACCCGCTGCCTCCAGCTTTGCTCCTTCTGCCTTGCTCTCTGCTCCTGATGTGCCATTGGTTCAGAGACTGGAAGGCACCCCAATATTTCATTACATATATTTTTAGAAATCATTTTGAAGGAACAGGGAGTGAGCACCGCTGGAGGTGTCTGTGGGTTCCATGTCAGAGACCCCAAACCTCCATGTTTCCCCTTTAAAACAGAAAGCAAAAGTCCCTGTGTTCGCCTGGTTTGCTTGCCATTTACGCTTCTGTGCATGTGGCAAACCCGGTTTGGTGGGTGGCACATCAAAGGGGTTCCGGCCACAGGTGGATTGCTTAGGTTGTGGCACAGAATCATGGGATCATAGTAGAGCTGGAAGGGGCCAGGGGGCCACCGGGTCCGGCCCCCTGCTCAGTGCATCAGTGCAGGCCCCAGGTTAAAGCCTCCCCCTGGGAGGGCTCTCGACTGCCTCCAGTGTGGGAGAGCCCCCCAGCTCCCTTGGTCATGGGCTCCATTGCCAGGTGGCATAAGCAAGGGACATCTGTGCCCTCATTTGGGTGGCTTTTGGAGGTCTCTGTGATCCAGTTTGTGGGTGCATGTAGGACCCACCCAGGGATGTGTGGGAAACTATGTTGAACCACTCCATGGAGCACTATGGGATGGCTCTTGCGGTTACCACTCGGCCCATGCCGGAGGCCATCAGGCGTGGCTCTGAGGTGGTCCCCCACGGCACAACCAGCTTCAGGCAGCGCTCACTGTACGCCTTCTGTGGAACCTTCCCTGGCCAAAAGTCCACGGGCCCTGGGAAGATCCATTGCAGCGAGGCTACTGCACTGCTTTCTACCTGGGGCTGCCTCTGAAGACTTCCGGGAAACTTCAGGTGGGGTAGAACAGGGCCGGGCAGAGGGTAGATCCCCAGATGTTTTAGATTTCGACCACCCGGTGGTCCCTGCCAGCATGGGAAGGGGCCAGGAATGCGGAGAGCAAAACAGGAGGAGGTCTGCATTCTGCCCACCCAAGCACAGAATGCAGAGGTGAAGCTAACTAGAAACATCTGGAGATACGCTCCTTCGGCCCGTGGAATTTCTGTGTTTCTGGGCATGGTTCAAAATGCTCTGCTTTACTTTCTCAAAGCCCTGAACAGTCTGGGAGAACTGCACAACAGATGGAGTTTCTCCTGCAATTCAGGGTGGGAAGCTTCAGGGCAGAGCTTAATAGCTTAATAGAAGGTTAATCGATGAGCTGGGCTAATCCTTTACTTTTCCGGAACTTTGGTCTGTCTTGTCGTCGGCCTTAGAAATGACTTGTGTGTTCAGTGTGTTGTGTCCTGCGTGGTTCAGGGCAGATTCCAACAAACAGCGCTGGTTACCATCTGAAAGAAGCAATGTGTAACCTACTTTCCAAAGACATGTGAAGGTCACTTCCAAAGCTGGAGAAACTCATCCAATCCATAACCACAGAAAATAGAATTCCGTTCAGCCGTCGCTGGCATTTTCTTGAAGAAATTGGCAGCCTCACATCGCACTAATAGGCCATGCTTCTTTTTTCTAATTTCACCCCACACAAATGCAAAGCTGGTGAGGTTTTGTGTGTGTCTCTCTCTAACGGATGGCTCTTTTTCTTGTTATCTCGTCTTTCTAGATCTGTGCTGTTTGTTTGGAGGAATTCAAGCCCAAGGATGAGTTGGGAATCTGTCCGTGCAAACATGCCTTCCACAGAAAGTAAGTGCCGAGCCTGCCAGTCAGCACAAAAAGTCAGAATGTTTGGGGAGACTCGGGGTCTCTCTGGGGAGCTCCCAGGGTCCTCCCTGTCTGTTTCCCAGAGAGAGGGCAGGAGCTGAGGAGAGAGGGCAGGAGCTGAGGAGACGGGCCAGGCCTTTGCTCGTGGGACTCCTTGGCTTCTGGTTGTTGCGCCCACATGCACAAGCCAGTCCCATCACTGTGCCAGCCCAGGGGAGAGGGGCCCGCCAGACAGGCTGAGGTCTTGCATGCCCGGCACCAAGCCTCCGGCGCACCCTCATGGGCAGAGCAGCGTGTGTGCAGACGCTCTCGTTCAATTCGGAGAGGCAGGCTGTGAAAGGATCCGCTGTCTGCGATCTTCTGCAGACAGCGGACGCTGCAGGAAGCCGTTTCAGACGCGAGGGGCTTGCCTGGGGTGTCTTTTGGAATGCAGGGCAGGTCCGTGCTGCATCGGCCAAAGGCTCTCCCTGCACCCTGCTCTGGCTTTGAAACAGGATCAGGCCAGCCCGCCTGAGCAGGCAGTGCCGGAGGCCAGCAGGGCCCGACTCCATTTAATTCATGCCTAAGATAGCAGTTGCAGGAATTCTTCCAGCCTGCAGGCTGAATTTCAGTGGGGAGATTTTGAGGACCACCTCTGGGGGCTGGAAGCAGATGGGGAGTGGCCGAAAGGACCGGGGAGCCGGCCTGCAGGGACGAGTTTTGCTTCCTGCCAGGGATGAAGCACTAGTTCAGTTCCGAACGGGGAAGAACCGGTGCAAGGCTCGGGAAAGCACCGAAAGATCAGCAGGCAAGGAGGAGACAGCCTCTCCCTCGCTCTCTCCGGGCCAAACACGAGGAGATGCTATTTGTGCAATTAGCCACGGTTGGGAATAGTATGTGGCAGTCATGGGACAGGATCCTGCACGGGGCTGCAGACTGACCTTGGGATCCTGGAGCAGCGGCTGGGCAGCTTTAACTCTTTGCAGCCCCTTCTTGTCCCCTCCCCCAGTGCGAGGCTCCCGGGTTAGACTGGGCTTTGCAGCACTCCTTGTCTTTAGAAAAGCTGCTCATGCCATCCCACCTCTTGTCCGCCCTCTGCACACTCATTTTTGAAAAACAGCAGTGCATGCATGCGGGAAAAAGCCAAGCGAGGGCTTCCTATAAGATCAACATACATACCTGAGAGCACTATAGACTTCTGCTTATATCCAAGCCCCCTCCAGCCCTGTAGAGCCAGGTGGAGACCTGGATGGGAGGTGGCCAAGGCGGGTTTGTCTTGCAGCCTGAAGGTTTGCAGACCCCCCAAGCCTTTACTAGTAGCATTCAGATCATCCGTCCTACCGAGACATCAGGTGATGAGGCAGGTCCTCTGCCTCTTGGGCAGGGGGAGCATTTGGAATGTTGGGAATGTTGTGGGCACGCTCACAAAATGGCTGCCACGGGGCATGGCCAGACACAAAACACTTATTTCCAGAGGCAACTGGTGAAGTTGGAAGAAAAGTAACTTCCCCAGGAACTGAGGTACAAGGCAGAGGAGGGGACTGAGTTCCAAAATGGCCCGGGAGAAGCGCAGCAACCAGGCTGCAGAAATAAGCAACCCACAATACTGTGCTTGATGGGGCAGGAGAAAGGCCCACAACCCCCCCCCCCACTTGCTCTGAGCGGAACATCTGGGCTGCCTGGGGCCCTTTTTCTATCCCGGTTTGCTTAGGATTCCAGTTTAAGTGATCAAGTAAAGATCAGGAGGGGCAGGGAGACGGGCAGGTGCCCAGAGATGCCACTGCATCACTGGCGCTCAGCCCGAAGGGCATCTTGGGTGGCTGGCTGGGTGGCTGGCAAGGAGTGGCCTTCCTGGTTGTGGCACCTGCCTTTGGAGCAGCATCCCCGGAGAGGCCGTTCCAGCTCCGCCTCTCACTTCCTCACCGGCCAGATGCCATTTAATGCTGTGCGACTTTCCAGGCCTAGTCCAGCTCGCTGGAGTTGTGCTTTTCCTGCTGCCTGCGCTCTTCTACTTCTTCCGCTCTGCAGTTTCATTGGTGGGGGCCTGTTCTTACCATTCCCCTGCTACTTTATTTGTTTTTATTTATTTTTCAATTTATATCCTGCCTTTTTCCTACAAAGGGCTCAAGGCAGCTTACATCTCCTCCTCCATCTTATCCCCACAACAACCCTGTGAGGTAGGTTGGGCTGAGAGTCTGAGACTGGCCCAAAGTCACCCAGTTGGCGCCATGGCTGAGCGGGAACTAGTACCCAGATCACCCGAGTCCCAGTCCCATGCCCTTAACCACTACACCACACTGTCCCTCAGTGTGTACTTGTGCCTTGTGCTGTTGGCCACACAGCAGTGCCCGAGGGCAGGGGCGTCGGCAACTGGAAGCAAAGCAGGCGCTTCCAGTAGAAGACTTTGGGGTCCCTGCCACTTCCATGCATGACAGGCGGAGCCAGGGGCCAGGCGTGTCCTCAACTTTCGCCTTGACATGCCCAGTATTTTCCCTATTTTAACGCTTTCACGTTGTCCTTGAATTGGTTTCGAGGCAGGTGATCCTCTGAGGAAAAGGCAGCCTTAGTTATGGAGCAGAAATTTCCCATCCAGATCATACATCTTTTAGTCAGATGCATCCTAAGTGACCCTGGACTAGCAGCAATTCCTACAACCTCAGTTTACCCGTCTGCAGTACAGTGGTAGGAATGCTTGATGGGGCTGTTGCAAATACAGCTGAGACGATGGAATAGTGAACATTTTAAATGCACCATACAGAAATCAGGTGCCAGGCGTCATCTTGCAGGTTGAGCCTGCTCCAACCTCCTGCCCTTGAGGGGAATTCAGCCACAACTCCCAGCATCCCCTGGCTGGGGAATATGGAAACTGATTTGCTGTAAAAAGGCCCTCACGATGGTTAACTTAGTGCATGTATTATTCTTAAAGCATAGCAGAAGTCAATAAAAATGCAGCCCATGACAATTGAATGCAATCCGATCTTAACACATTTTTTAAAAAGAAACATCAAAGACGGTAAAGCGTCAAGACAGGCTCCCACAACTTGAAACCCCTTTTAAATAAGGAACATTAAGGGCAGTAAAGAATTAAAGCATTAAAGGAGCCTAATTTAAAAGCTGGGATTAAAAACATGTCTTTAGGCACCTTTTCTAGAGCCACGGGAGTGGGGCCGATGGCCACGATTTCCCGTGATGGGCCTACAGCCCTCGCCTCTGGGTACCGTCTGACACGCGGCTCTCTCTCCTCCTGCAGGTGCCTCATCAAATGGCTGGAGGTGCGCAAGGTGTGCCCGCTCTGCAACATGGCTGTCCTGCAGCTGGCCCAGCTCCACAGCAAGCCGGCACACCACGGCCCGCCCCAGGAGCCCCTGCCCGGCGCCGCAAACATCGTATAGCTTCCCGCAAGCGGCACAGACCCTCGTCCCAGCCCCCCGCTCAACAGGGCTGTGCAGAGGTGCACCCATCCCGATCCCCGAAGCTGCTACGGATAGCCTTGGAGCACCTGCCCGGGTTCCCTTCATCTCCTGACGAGCTCCCAGGTCCTTGCAAAGGAGGAAGGGCAGGTGTGCCAGTTGCCGAAGCGCGTGGTGCACCGGTGCGGCCGACACGGAGGCGGTGTGGCGAGCCCGCCGGTTTGGCTTTTCTTTCTTTTCTCTCCTTTTTCGTAACATACGAGCACTTTACGGAGGACGCTTGTCGGTAGAGCCAGTGCCTGAGCTGGACGGATGGAGAGGGAGGAAAGGCGGCCAGAGCCGGGCTGTGAGAGATGCAGAGCAGAAATGTGGAGGCGCCCGGCGCATGCAGCACGGCAGGCGTCGTTCCATCCCGGGGAGGGGAGCTGGTGCACACGTCTCGGGAAAGCTGCGCCCCACGATTCCAGCCCCCAGAGGTTACCTCACACCGCATTGCCTGTGGCACACGGAACTTGACGAGCGGTGAGTCCAAATCCTGACGGAGCTGGCGGAGAAGTTGGGACGCCGGAGTCCCCCTCGTGCGTGGACGGGACGGGACGGGACGGGCAGGGAAACGGAGGTCACCCCCCACCTCTAAGGACAACTGACTTGCCGGGGGCCGCCCCCACCGTAGACACTCGAATGCTGCGTTGGTGCAATTCCTGCCTCAGTGAATGGTTCCATAAGTGCCCCGGAACGTGGGAGGAGAAACAGATCTCACAAATGCCGCCCCTGTGATGCCCCTTGCCAAGGGAAGGGCACGGCCAAATTGGCATCTAACATAAGGGGCTGACGGCCAGCCTGCGGATTTGGTACCAGAGTACGGGAGCGCCCTTCATCTTTCCTAGAATGTGAATCCCTCTCACGCCATGTGCTAGCACAGAAGGAAGTGTTCACACACGTATGGCTAGAAAGGATTTGTGTCTTTTAAAAAAAGTGGCTCTGAAATTTGACGTCTTACTAGCTTGGGGAGAGTTGAGAGGGCGATTTTGGTGGTGCAGTTTGGGCGGGCCAGCGAAAGAAGAGGAATCCTGGCGCATGACTAGACCAAAGGCCTCTAGTGCAGCGTTCGCGTCTCACAGCGGCCAAGCAAATGCCACAGTGGGAAGCCCACGATACGAGCACGATGGTGTTCTGCCCCTCGCCTCCCCCAGCGATTGGTGGCCAGAGGCATATGCCTCTTATTCCCCCAGTGCTGGGGATCGGTAGTGGGTCATAACTGCCCTTCGCCCTGGAGGGGGTACGCAGACACCATAATCTGGGAGCCGTGGAAGTTTGTCTGCAGTGGAAAACTCTTTTTTTCCTGTCAGTATTTCCATTCCCTGACAAAACTCTGTTTGCACTTTGGAAAAAAGGGAAAGGAAAGGAAAAAGGGTCCTACCAAGCAATATAGGTTGGTGTTTTGTGCCCCAGTTGAAGGCCAAACGGACAGCCTGGAGTCCAGTTCTCCTTTTGCTATGAATTTGGCTATCTGAAAACATCAGCTGTCTTTATTTAAAAAAAAAAAAAAGTTTCTAGCCCGTATCATGTAAAGCAGGGAAACCGTGGTCGAGATTAACTGTTCACGCTGTTTGAGAGCATACAAAAGCAGTAGGATGCAACCCCTGGATCTCTTCATTGAGACCATTTTTTTCCCAAAAAAATTATGTCAAGCCTAGCGGTTGATGAATGGGTACCAGGAATGATTTTTTTTTTCAGTATTATGCTGTACATTTTCCAAACAATGGCAGAGACTGTTTCTTCCCAGCCTTTCTGCAGTCAGGTAATGGCATGCATTTCGTTAGCAGCACTCAGTGGCCACTTAGACTCACGGATTGTCATTTCCTTCTCTGGACCATCCAGGTTCAAGAGTCTGATCTCTTTCTCCCTCCACGCCCCCTGAATTTTCCTCTTCCACAATCATTTTGTAAATAGTGCGCAACTCTTGGAAAGAGTTTATGAACTGTAGGGATCCTCCTGGATTCGTAGAGCCATTTGTACACTAAAATAAATAAATAAAATTCTGCAGCAGAATATTTTTTTTAATAAAAAAGACAAAAGAAAAAACATGTGCTGGTTTTTATTTTGTAAGCTATATTTTTGTATATTTAATTGCTATTTTAAAATTCTAATGCAGCATTTTTGCTAATCATATTATTCTTAAATGTGGGGTTGGGGAGGAGAGGGGAAACTTTGCATGTGATTTGACTTGAAATGTAAATAAAGGCAGATTTTGGAAATATGTGTTTGTTTGTGCGTTGGAATCTGTTCCTACTAACCCACAAGGGTTTATGCAGACTCTGGCTGCAATCATGTGTATGTTCAGACAAAGGAAGTCATACAGTTCCCTGGTTGGTGGATAAGGCCAGGATCTATGCCCCTTCAGCACTGGGGAATCGGGCAGTTGGAAAAGCTGAGCGGTTTTCCTGGCTGGGAGGTACAAAACCCAGTCTGCAGCAGCCGCAGCTGCTTCTCTGGCCAAGGAATCATAGAATAGTAGAGCTGGAAGGGGCCATGAAGGCCACCAAGGCCACCCCCCCCCCCCCGCTGTTGCAGGACACCAAGTCACACCATCCCACTCAGGTGGCTGCCCAGTTTCGCCTTGGATGCCTCCACTGTGGGAGAGCCCCCCACCCCTCCAGGCAGCTGGTTCCACTGTCAAATTGCTCTGACTGTGAGGAAGCTTTTCCTGATGTCCAGCCTGAATCTGGGTTGCTGCAACCTGAATTGGTTATTCCGTGTCCTACATTCTGGTATTAGCATCGTCCTGGAATTAACATGGTCCTGGACGTTCTTTCGGCGCCAGTGAGCGGATGGTGAAGGGCCGGGTGGTCTCACCAGTGCACGGCCCTGCCCTGCAAGATGGGTGGACTGATGGTTGGTCATCCATTGAACACTGAAACAAAACTAGAGGCAGGGGGATGCCATGAGCAACTCAGCCCCTAAGGAGCTTTCCAGACGATCAGCCGGATGCCAAAAGGCTGAGGGTGCTTCAGGCCACATGAGCTCAAGGAGAGAAACCCAGCGACTTGATGAGGCATGTAAGGTGCTGAGACCGCAAACCTGTCCATGGAGTCGTGGGGGCGGAACAGCTCTGGCAGCTTCCCTTCCCCTCCCCTCCTGTGGCTGCCCAGACTCATTGAACTGCAACACCCATCATTCCCAGCCACACGGGCCCTTAGAGTAAATCATAGCTCCACCTTTTAATTTGGAGCAGGGGGCACTGCTTTGGCAGTGAATCCAGTGATCCTACGGGCAGTGCTAAGTCCTGAGAAGAGCAGCCACTTGGACCCCCGGGGGCCAAAAACATTAGAAGCGCATGCCCCTGCATATGCTCCAAGGTACGTGTGCTTAAAGGACTCTGCATCCTAAGGACCCCTCTGTTTGTAAGAGCAAGGGAATGGCGGCAGGCGGGGAAGCCCAGGTGGGCCAAAAGCCAGGTAATCTAGAGGATCAGGTGCAATGGATCAGCGGGGCTCCCAGACCTTTATTTCACGAAGTGCCCCTGGACAGTGGAGGGGGCAGACGGCACTCCAGAGATTTGGGGCGCTAAATGAAAGGTTTGGACCACCCACTAAGAGCAGCCCTGACCACCTCCCAGTTTTGCCATGGGTCCGTAAAACTTCCTTGAGCACAATGGTTATGACGAAAACGCCCATGAGGATGGATGTACCAAGAAGGTAAGTGCCAGGGTACTTCTCCGCAAGGAACTGTAGGACTGTGGCTTGCGTTCTTGGGGTGTGCCTGGCGCAACCAGGTCACAACGCAGGGGCTACCACTCGGAACGGCCTTCCTAACGAGCACAGCTCATGGTGACTGGGGCTGATAGGTGCTGTAGTCCCAAAGCTGGTGGGCCGATTGAGCAAATCTGCCTCGACACCGATTTTCGAAGCGGCCACCAGCAACCCGCACATGCAGCGTAGCGGGAAAACGAGCGTAGCTCTTCCAGGAGGGGCCTCTCCAGGCAGTTTCAAGACGGCGAAGTTGGCATGACAGCTGCATCGAAACTCAGGTTGCCAGGCAAGCTTCATGGCCAGTCCTGCCTGGCACGCAAGTGGGAAAAGCCGCTCATCCATACAACGCGCCACAGTGCTTCCCCCGCAACAGGAGCGTCGCCATTGCTGCGGGCAAGCCACGGGCGAGTTCTTCCAGGCTGTGAAGGGAAGGGACTACTAGCTTCGGTCCAGCCTTCTCTCCAGGGAGACCGGTCTCTGCGTGGGATGCGATCAGCGGGAAGAAAGCTGTGTGAATGCCACGTTCTCTGGCCCAAGCAGCCTTCTAGGTGTTCCATGCAAAGCACTGGGAAGGTGCAGGGGACTGGCCTGCGGGAAGCCATCTGTTTTCTTCCCGATATTGTGCGTTTCTTCAGCTTTTACACACATCAGTGGCCAAAGGCTGTTCTTTCTTACTCGGACCAGGACATGCCAGGATGCCTTTGTTACTTGCTGGTGGCCAAGACAATTTAGGCGGCTATCAAGGTGGAAAAGCAAGAGGTGCTGCTGCCACTGCTGGACTTCAGGGCCCAAAGCTGGGGGGGAGGGGGGTGCGAAAGAGCAACAGGGGAAGGGGAAGTGGTAAACAGGCCCCGCAGTTGAGACAGGCCACGAAAAGCATGGTAGCGGCCCGGGAAAGGGTGCTGGGAGACTAGAGGGAGGCCACTGAATGCTCAGAGCAGACGACCTCGGGCTGGCGTTGGCCCGCCCGGTGTGCTCTCGTGCAGGAGGAAGAGAGTCCGTCAGCCTTCTGTGCAGCTCATGTTCCACAGAGGGGTCAGAGGCCCCTGCAGGAAGGAGGTGGCCTGCGTAGGCCATGCTCTCCCGTGTTCCTGGACAGGACAATGCTGCCCTCTGCCGAGGACGAGGGGCCAGGAGCGGCACTGAGCGCACGGCGATGCGGCTGAGGGCAGCTGCCGGGCTTGGCTGAGAACAGCCTCCCCTTGCTGCTGGGGGTCCCCACCCAACCCCCAACGTCCTCTCCAGATCCCCATTGCTTAAGGTTCCCTCTGAGACACAAACATATGCAGAGAATGTTTGCGTCAGTAACTCCGCTTTAAGAATATTGCATACGCTTAAATATTAGCATCGCAAATCTGAGTTTTAAGTATATGCTGATAGGATGTGAACGGGCAGTGATTGAGCAAGAAAGCGGCCTTTGGGTGGCCGTGGACAACTCAACGAAAATGTCTGCTCGTGGAAAAGAAGGCAAACTCCATGCTAAGCACAAAAAAACCCCAGGACTAGTGACATCTTATGATTCTTTGCTACAGCCACACTTAGAAGATTATGTTCAGTTCTGGTTGCCTCACCCGAATAAGGATGTTACTGAGTTGGAAAAGCACAGAGAAGGGGAACGAAAATGACCACAGGGTGGAGCAGCTACAGCTGGGACTGTTCAGGCTAGAAAAATGGCGAGGAAGGGGAGCCATGATGGAGGTGTTTAAAGTAATGCCTGAGGTGGAGAAAGTGAAGACTATTTTCTCCCTCTCCCTAACATTTGGACCCGGGGTCATCCCATGAACCTGATTGGTGGGAAGTTCAGGGCAGATCAGAGAGTTCTTCACATGGTGTATAGCTGAACTGCGGAATCTGCTGCCACGGGAAGTGGGGATGGCCGCCAGTCTGGGTGGCTTTCAAAAGGGACCGGACAGATCCATGAGGGAGGAGGCGATCAGGGCTACTAGCCTCGCGGGCCACGTGCTCCATCCTTCAGCAGAAGCGGCCCGCCTGCCTGCCCCAGCTGCTGAGGAGCTGGCCAGGAGGTCTTGCACCCGTCCTGCTGGAGGGATCCTGTGGGCAGCTGGTTTGCTACTGTGTGTATGAAGTACAGGACGAGATGGACCTTCAGGGCTTTTCTTCTGTTCTCCAAGCCATACTTAAAATCTCCATGCTCCTGAAGCGCCAAGAATCAGGGCTCCAAGAATGTGTTAAAATAGAAAATGAGACAGCCTAGCCTGCCTCACAGGGTTATTATTGTGATAAAATGGCGAGAAGGGGAAGTGACTAAGCTATCTTGGGTTCCTTGCAAGAAGAAACGTGAGATACAAATGTAATGCAATATAATGTAATAATATTAGCATTCAACAGCAAATCCATGTTCCCGTTCCTGCATCCTCTGGAATCTACCTCTGCATCCTTCCCAACCAGACCTGTTCGTAAAGCTTTCGTTGAAGACACGGCTCATTCTTTGCAAGTGCCCCCTAGTCCTAGCCCCACCCCCACAATTAAGGAACTGCTTTGCTTGCAAGAGCATAGTAATTACTATCCTGGGATAGGATGTACAATTTACTAAGCAACAATCTGTGAAAAACAAAGGCTTCTGCTTAAGCACATAAGCGCCTCTTGGCCTACTTTCCATTAACTACAATACGCATCCCCAGCAAGGGGCTGCCAACCCTGGCAGGAGGCTGCTTCCTTCTACAAGGATGTTTTCCGAGCAGACACATACATGGCAACGTAAGATGAGACATGCCGGATCAGACCAACAGTGCATCCCACCCAGCGCTCTGTTCAAACTGGCCCACCAGCTGCCCACAGGATCTCGCAAGCAGAACGCCCAGGTGCTCCGGCAACGACGACACACAGACAAAGCACTCTCAAAGCACTTTCGTTTGTCAAACTGATGGTGGAACAGAACTGGGCAGTTACCTGATGCAAGGTAACCTATCCCCTGTCCTAACCCCTGCCTCGAGGGCTTGGTTTGTCCGGGGAGGGGAGAAAAAACTTGGGAGATTATTTAGCTCTGTGGCAAGGGCAAGTGCTTTGGCTGCAAAAACCTCCATGACTGGCTTTTGGTAGTAAAAGGCGCAAGTATCGATGGTTGTAGTTTCTGCCACCTCACAGAAAACACATTCGGCGTAGACAACATGGGGTCCAAAGGAAGTTTATGGTCCAGCCAGGGGCAAGGCAGCTTCCTACGTAACGTGAAAGCAGGCATGGAACAAAAAGACAGGTTGTCCTTCAAAGACAGTCGCCTTGTGTTGCAAGAACTACCCTGTGCTCCCAGGCCCAGTGTCCACCTACCTGCTCCTGCATCCTGTTTCCAGATGTCAGATAGATACCATGGAAAACTCACAGGCAGGGCGTGAATATTTTATTGTGTATCTCTGTGGCCGCCTTGCAGCAAAAGAAAGCTCCCCAAATCGATGGCTGCAGCTCCAATGCGCCTGCGAAACCTCAGTCAGCATCACAGACTCACCGTGAGCCTCTGCCGCAGCCTGTCCATGTCGCACTGGGGAACGCCAAGCAACCAGCTCTGCTCAGACAACCGACGCGCCTGGGGAGAGACCCTCTCCCCCCATTTAAGCCCTCTGGGGCAACAGACCCTCCAAAGCCCACCTCAGACAGCCTCTTAAGAACGCAAGAGCCACGAGGGGCATTTCCAAGGGTCATCCAGCCCAGGATTCTGCTGGGAGACGAGTGGAGTGGCCCTGTCTTGCCCATGTTCCCCAGCAACTTCCTCCGATGTGGAAGAGAGCACACAGCCAACAGGCCAATGGGCTCCCTTCTCTGCATCAATGGGAGAAGCAGGCCCTCAGCAGGGGGGCAGGTGCTCCAGGGTGTCCCAGGGACGTCCCCCAAGTAGCGGAAGTATTCTGGATGCCCGTTTTTCCTAAAACGTTTTTACGCTTCGCTTTTACTTCTGCGGCACACTTGGGATGGCAGCTGTGTGTGGCCTGTGGCCCAGGTGGGGCCCGCCCCGAATGTCCTGCAGAGCAGCTTAAAAATGGCAGGTCGTCTGAGAGCTGGAACCAGTGGGATGGAGGCCTGGTGGCTGGGTCAGGTAAGCCGCAGGGGGTCCGCTGACAGTTCCATCTTCCCGGGTGGCACTCACACCAGGGGACTCGTGGCACACCATGGTGCACTGCCGAAAGCTCAGCTGCAGCGCCAGTCGGCAACCGGTTCTCTCCTGCGTGCACTGGGAGCAAAGCCATGCTGAAGTCATGTGCGCCAACTGCAGCTCCTATTCCACACGCCACTTGGGACCCGGCTTATGACATGCTTACCCAAAGACTGGCCTCACGAGGGGGCTCCCAGTATCTGATCATCACCCTCCCAGTTTTCCAAGACGGGATCTTTGGAAGAATGCCCCCGCCCCACCCCACCCCCCCGCCCCCCTCCTCTCCCCCCCTCCCCGCAGTGTGTGACATGAACACAAACAGGGAGACAACGGTCTTTACAGTCAGAAGCCGACAAACAGTTCTTTTAAAAAATAGATTTAATATGTCAAGTGCAATTTCATATCCTGCACATCTCAGTGCAATTATGAAAATTCGCCCAGCCCTTCAAGTTCATACAAGATTAGTAAATAAAGCAACATTTAAAATAGTTTTCTAAGAGTGCGGCTTGCATCACTGCCGGGCTGAGGCGCACTCGGCTCCAGCGCCCTCGGGGCTTCTGTAACACAAGCTCAATGCCAGACTGACTAAACATGCATTTTAAGAGGCGCAAGGCAGTCCACACAGGTGTGCAGACAGGCACGGCTTCCGTACGGACGAGTACATACGCACATCAGTTGTAAGTGCTTTAAAGAATACCTTTGTCCGTGCTGGCCCTGACCGAGGAGGCTGCTCACCACTCCTTCCCGTCGTCTGTCAAGCAGACAGAGGCTTTCGCACATACCGCTCCATGGACACGGGTGTTCCCTTTGATGCAGGCCGTCCCAGCGGCGACCTGGGCCAGGCTGCACGAGGCATCAGGACGGATCCAGAAGCTCCAGAAAGGCCCCGACCGCTCCAAAGTAGCCCTGTTTGAAAAGCAGCGCACAATCCATCAAGCCTCGCCACACACACAGAATCAATTGGATCCGTTGTCCAAATACACCTCCTACCATCAGCTTATTAAATGCTTATCATCACTGAACTGTGTGCTAGATTTGCTATCGTCTGGTTCTAGGTAAAAGAACCAAATTAGAGAGGAGGGAAAAAGCCATCACACGTCTGTTCCCAGGTCCACCTTCCCCCACATTCAGAGGAAGTCCCTGCTATCACGCTTTGGAGGCCCTGGGGTGGGGTGAAGATTCATGATGTTAATATTTCACTCCTTGCCATCCATTTTCCAACCCCTTCTCCTTTTGCTTGGGTGCCTAATGGGGCCCACGAAACGGCTATTCACCACCCAGAGCCCACGCGTTGTAGATATAAACCAAATTAATTAGTGAAAGGATTGTAATGCAGGTTCCAATGTCACTGCATTGTCAGAGTAAAACCACAGCACTGACATCCGGACAGAAGGAAGGCCCCTCCTGATGCTGCTCTCTGCCTACGGAAGACGGAGAGGAGGGGAGCAGAGAGCGCCAGCGGCACAGTGCACTCTACCTCATGCTCCAGGAAAAGGGCTTTCAGCTGCCCCTTGGACCAGTAATCCAAAGCATATGCGAGAAACTTCATTGAGATGGTATTGATACGCAGGAAGTTCCCCACGAAAACCACTCGGTTGATGTTCTGCAAGAAGAGAGCATGTTACTACAACCTCGTTATTCCCCTTCGGGGAAGTGAGAGCCTGAAGTGTTCTGCCCACTGATATACACGGGAAGAGCCACACTCACTGATCGGTTCTTACTGGGGAGTAAGGGTTGGGGAGACATTGTGGAACGATGCAAAACCCAGATGTCCTACTGGCAAGGGTTATTCCCACTTGGCTTCACCCCCTCCACGCCTCAACGTTACAGCTGGTCCTTCTGTATGTGTGCGTGGTGCGAGGGCAGGCAATCCTGCCAGTTTTCTGCACCCGATTCCTCCTCTCTCTTAGGGCACAATCTTATGGCCACAGTCCAGACAGCCATGAGCTCATTCAGAGTCCCAGCTCCACTCCTGGAAACTCACTCTGAGCTGAGACTCTTAACTCCCTCCATCAATGGACAAGGAAGGGCAGGCGGGAGGGGAGGGGAGGGGAGGGGAGACAGGCATCAGCCTAAGTTTTAACCTGGCAGCACCTCCAGCTCCTCTCCTGATGCTCCGGGGCAAGAGCTTAGATAGCTGAAATCAGCTAGAACGAAACACACAGATGGCCAAAGCTGGCCACCTTGAGCGTCACCTCCACACTCCTTCCACCCTCTGCAGGATGCCCGTCATCCGTGCTGGACTGAGCTGGCTGTGAGTGCAAATGCTAACACAGAAGGGAGACAACCAATTCCTGGGGAAAGTTATTGGCAGATGAAGCATCAGGCTTTGGAAGAGTCAGTCTCAGGAAAAGGGTAGGGAGAACCAGATACTGAGGCAGGGGAGGTACGATACCACAGAAGGGAGAGTTAGCTGAGCAAAGCCTGCCGTTCCCAGGCTTCTGTGCTCGTTTTGATTTGATGTATGGTGGCCAAACAGTCTTGAAAATACAGGACCCTGCTCACAGCTGCTGTGATGGCACAGAAGACACAAGCATTTTGAACTCCTAGTGGGTAAATGAGGAGGAGACACCGATGAGAGTAAGTGTGCCCAGTGGTTTGCCTGGGAGGAGAATGTGGCCACAGGACAAGGGAAGCGATGCCCAATTCTGGTGGCGAAGGAGTGGTTCAGGAAGAGATGCCGACATGCTGAACACGGGACGCCCACTGCAAAATCTAGCAGATACACGCATTCGGCCTCTTCCCCATGCAGTTGCCTAGATTACTGACCCCACAGGCATAATCAAAAACCCACCTCAAGAGCTGGCGTCAAGGCACGGTAGCATTCAGCTAAAACCCAGCTGAAGGCCCAGTTTCAAGACCAAGCGTGACACCCTCCTTCTCCAAACCCCTTTCTCCTGGAGTACCGTTTCTGTCTACGATTTTCCAACCTCCTCCTGCAGAACCCCCCCAAGAGGTGCTGCATCAGACAACACACGCACACGCCCTTCTTGCTGCCTGCGTGTGCGAGCACGTGCGCCCCGACGCGACCGGATGAGCAGGCCCGGCTCTTTCATAGCCCTGTACAATGCTGCTTGACATGGTTGCAACAAGGCAGCACTGTAAAGAAGCTGAAAGCACCGCGCTCGGGAAAATCCTCCGAGGAAGCCGGGGCAGGCACAGCCGCTCTGCCTCGGGACTGGCCTCCCTGGCGCACTCCGCCCCAGACACCGGCCACGCTCCCTCTGCTGCGAGCGGGAGAATCGCAACTCTCTGAGCAGCAGTGGCACACAGCACCCCCCGACCCCGCACCTGGCTCTCCTGAGCAGCCTCAGAGAATAACATTTCCATTTGCTGCTAGCAAGGGGGAAACGGAACGTTCACTAGGAAAACTGGAACCCTTGCTGAGACGTCCGCACTAGCTGCTCCTGCTCTCGAGTCACCTCACAAGGCCGGGAGCGGCAGGAAGGGGCACCCGCTTAGTCTGGGGCTGCAGCATCTTTTCCCTCCCCATGCCACACCCTGCTGTCAGAAAGCAACCCCCCCCCAAGGAAGGAGGAAACACGGATACCCCCCTGCCCCCATCGTAAAGGGTGCCCTTCCCTCGATCGCCTTCGGCTTCTGTACCTCGTTCAGCGCGCACATCCGAGCGATGGAGCCGATGTTGTTGGTGATGGTGATCAAGGCCGCCCTGGCCAAGTCTTCCTTGCTGGCCGCCTCTCGCTTCTCCCTGCTCATCATGTTTCCAAAGCTGTACGGAAGCGAGCACACACAGGCCGCGTTTAGCAGGGAAGCTGAAGCATGGACACGGCATCTTGAGGACGAGCGCACGGTGCCAGAAGATGCTTCCCACACCTTCGCGGAGCTGCAGCGGGGCTCCCAGCCTAGCTCAACCGCTCTGCTCCGCACAGGAGCACGCGCCTCGCCCACCAGCAGCCCACCCGCAACGTGGCGCAGCGAAGAGCGAACGTGCCACAAGGTGCTCGCGGGGCAGAGCAGCACCACATGACCCAGCGAGAGCAAGCACAGCCGTTTGCTTCGGGGGGGGGGGAGAGCGCGAGCCCACAGCCGATCTACCTGGGAGAGGTACGGGAGAATATAAAATCCCACCATTTGGCAGAGAGAAAGGGAGAGACAGCAAGAGAGAGAGAGAGGATGAACTTTCAAAGGGGGAAGAAAGCCCGCTTCTTCAGAAATGGAGCTAAGCCCCCAGGAGGGCCAGCCCCAGCCTTCATCCGCCATCGGCTCCTGCTGCAAGCTCACCTGGAGGCCACAGTCCAGCCCGGCAGCCCAAACCTCTCGTAGTCGCCTCCATAAATGTCCCGCACGAGCTTGTCCACTTTGGTGCTGTCCCCACGGGATGCCATCTCCAGGGCCTCCTCGAAGGTGGAGCAGCCCGTCAGGAGGCAGCAGAGGCCGAAGAAGGTTCCTCCTCCGAGGCTAGTCAAAGGGACAAAGGGCTTCAGAGGGGGGCCGGCAAAGAAGGGGAGCGGCAGCAAGCCTTTGCTCCAGTTCTCGCGCCCACCTGAGTTACCGAGCGAATAAATGGCATCCTGCCGGTCTCACCAGGGGGCACTGGATGGATGGGGACGTCCTCCAGGTAGTTTTGTCCCCCAGGAACTCATGGGAGTAGTTCACGCTCTTAGGACCCAATCTCGTATCTGTTATTTTATTACTATTTATTGAATTTCCAGCCTGCCCTCGTGTCCTGCCCCCTCATGGTGTTACATGGGACTTTCTTCCCAGTACAGCCAGTCACCTGTGAGCTGCCCACAGGTTAGTCAGCAAGGACACACAACTGGATGGCACTGAAGCTGTTACTCCGGTGATGGCCAACAGAGCCTAGGAGCTGCAGGCCACTAATTCCTGGCTTACCGGCTCTAAAGGCACGAACCGTTCGCCTCCGTCTCACCTGGTTCCCGTCACTCGCTTGTAATTGTCTTTGGAATATACAGCTAAGATGCTGACCCCTGAGCCGATGTTCACCAAGAGGAGGGGGTATGGATTCTCCAAGTTGAAGGGGAGCTTCTGACACTTCTCGGGGTCAGTTGGGTTGTTAAAATAGTAGCACTCTGAGTGTCCATTGAACCCAACCGAATCGATGTACAAAACTCCCTTAATAAGGCAGTCGAGTTCATCCATTTTGTGGAGCTGAAGGTCACTCACCTGTTTAAAGAAAGACACTCTGAAGAGGACTAGGTAAACACTTCCAGCTGGCCAGGGGAATGGGGCCTAGCAGTCTCCTTCTCCATTAGATGTACCACTTAAGGACACCAATGTATTAAAGAGCCACGTTTCAATGTTGGGAATGCCGAATCCGGCAAGTTCACCACCAGTGGAAACCATTTATCCAACTCTTTATCATGGTGCTAGATGAGGCATTCTGCGCAAACAGTAAACAAAGGTACTATAGTCTGTTACGATGAAGGTGCCTGTCCTTCCTGTAAAGTGACTGACTGGTTTTTAAAAAATAAGTTAAATGCCACCCTAAGCTGCGCTGAGGACTCTTGAGGTCAAGCATGCAGCATCAAAAGAGCTGGATAAAAATTAAGTCAATGCAAACTAAGCCCAAGACTCAAGCTAGATGGGGGATAGGAGTCTCATGGGGCAGGGACCCAGGAGGCAGAGACAGGGAGGGTTGATCAGCACCGGCTAAGCCACCGTGAGCCGATCCTAGGATCACTGCCTTCGAGGCTGGCCACGGTGCTGCACCCTGATGTGGCAGCTGAAAGGGAAAGGGACATGGTGCCCTGATGGGCAGCCAACAACTACGCAGCACCCTGTTTTCAGGAGAGGAGAGGACAGGAGAGGAGAGGACAGGAGAGGAGTGCTCCATCGCTTTGTGGTCGGGCACATTCAGGAAGGACCAGGTTCAGTTCCTGGCATTTCTAGGCTTCAGAAAAGCAGAAGGCTGGGAAAGCCCTCCCTTGCTCATGCATCTGGACCGCTGCTGCCGGGTCAGAGTGGGCGGCATTGATAGATCGATGGTCCAACAAAGTATAAGGAAGCTTCCCATCAAAGATGCATATTTCTATCCCCACATTACTGGTAGAGAAGGATGGTTGGGAATCTTTTATTCAGTTATTAATTTTTTGTAAAAGCCACCTGCTGGCATTATGCTCTCTGTGGCAGAGGAAGCTCCTTTATACCCAGCCAAGTTACTACTCAGTGTTAACTCTCCGCTGCCTACACTAACTTGCAGCAGTTCTCCTGGGATTCTGAAAAACGTCTTTCCCAGGACTACTTTGAAGGGGAAGTGGGAGCTTTGCTGGGCAACACGTGTGTGTCGCACCACAGAACTGCAGCTGTTCCCCAGTATATACATCGCACCCCCAGCATATCCTGCCCCTGACTGTGGCAAGCTCCAAGATATTCACGAGGACAGAGGTTCCCTAAGGCATCCCTGAGTCAGACTGCTTTTCTGCATTGCTTTCTAATCAGTTTCTAATCATTTCTAAAACATTGCTTTCTAATCAGTGCCGGACTTAAGGAAAAGACCCTGATACAGTCACCTAATTCCATGAGTCACCATGAAATCTCTGGCATGCCTTCAGCCAGTGTTCCTGCATAATGCATGACAAAGAGCTGCCACTTAACTGCATCCCCACCCCAATCTTTGGGTCTTTGGTTACCGCAGGAAGTATTTTGAGCAATGGCCTGCTTCATGGGCTCTTCAGCAAGGCACACCTGGGCTCCAGCGGTAAGCAAGCAGCTTTCCCTAAGTTATCACACCGTCATTACAAGACAATCTCTTTCCTCTAATCAGCTTATGGCCAAGCTGTGGGAGCCTACGAGGATATCAACTGCCTGGCTGAGTCCTGATTCACGGAGTGCAAGCACAAGGTTTGGCAACCAGCAATTTTACAGGTCTGAAAGCCAACTTTGCACTGCTCTTAGACTCGATTCAGGAAACTAGACTAACCCAACCACAGGGAGGTGTTGTTACAGGGAAAGGAACACACACTCGGCCCCTATCTTGGAAACTTTAACAATGGACTACTGCAGCTTAAGAGTATAGAAGTCAAAAATTGCATACTGTGCGAAAGTCCTGCTCAAATTTATATGCTCCACCTCCTGTGGCACATAAGGTAGTATGGAGGCTTGAGAAGTGCTTTTCGCTGCCCATCTGAATAAAAGCAGGCATGTCGTGAGTGGGAAAGCGTATAAAGTGCAGATTGCCTTTACGTCCACACAGCGTGAGGTCCTTTAGCTCAAGGTGAACATCCCGAATGCCCGTAGCTCCATAGGCCGTGTTGGACGTCAGGTATTTACGGATGCTCTTCAGATTCTCCACTTCCTCCTCCTCCTCCTCCGTGGTAATGTCTTTTGGTTCAAAATAGACAAGCTTCACCAAAGTCCCTCCGATATCCAAGCCAAACCAAGGGAAAGCTAAAGGAAGAAGGAAGAAAAAGGATCACTATAAGGTAGTGCTGTATTGCACAAATAAAATTATAATATTATACAAATAAAACTTGGCTTGCTGTCAGCCAAATCGTTCCCTGTTGTGACTGTTCATTTACCCAATCCTGACCAGAACCCTAACCTCAACTCATGCCTACTCCCTAACCCATCATCCCCATTCCTGAAATATAAACCTGAACCCAAACCACAAATTCTAATAAATGCATTGTAAAAATAGAATACACAGTTCATCATTTCTGCCCATTCCTAAACACATTCGAACCATGAAAAACAGGACCCCTAGTTTTTGTAACCTCACCCTACCCTGGTACACACCCCTAACCCTAAGAGCGGGTGAAAGTTCCACTGAAAAGAGGGCAATTTTGAAAAGGCCTTCCTCGAGTAGCTTTTTCTGCACAGCTCAACATTTCTGCCCATTCTGCACACATTCCAACCATCCAAATCATGCCAGGACACCTCATTTTCCTAACCCTACCCTGGTGCATACCCCTAACCATAACATACGGCTAAAATTCCACTTTAAATAGGGTGATTTTGAAAATGTCTTCCTTGAGTAGCAATCATTGTTTGTAAAATTGATTTTATTGGATGTTTTAATTGTGTTTTATATCACTGATTTTTTGTAAGCCGTCCTGAGGCTTGGGCAAAGGACGGGGTAGAACAGTTTTAAACAAACAAACAAACAAACATTGTCTGTTCATGTATAAGACTTTCCATTCTGCCCCTTCGCCCACTGTGACACTGTGGAACGTTAAAAAAAAATCCAATACTAAAATCCAATACTAAAAAAAAATCCAACACCCGAAATTAGGATCTTCACAGAACTACCTGTTCTCCTCTGCAGAGGAAGGCAGGACGCACTCCAATGGAGCAAAGCTCAGGGAGTCAAGGTTCCATTTGGATGCCAGGAAGCACTTCCTGACAGTTAGGACCCCGAGGGTGTGGAATGGGCTCCCACGGGAGGTGGCTCAGGCCCCATCGGTGCGGGTGTTCAAGGACAGGCTGGGCGTGCACATGGTGGGCATGTCGTGAGCAGAGCCGGCTGGAGCCGGGGGTCAGACTAGATGGCCCGGGAAGCCCCTTCTGACTCGCTCTGTTTCTGTGTTTCTAACTATAGCCTGGTTTGCTTCTCAGAAAGTGCACCATCTCAATACACGAGGAGGAGGGACGGGCAAACTAGTGCCATCCCCATCAATGCTGTCATTGACGTCTGTATGGGGGGGATGCACAACGAGGGAACATGCTCATGCCGACTCCCCAGTCCTTCTGTGGGTACGGCACAAAAACCACTAGGCAGGATCCAGGGAGATTCTGCAACAAAATATCACCCTGTCCAGGACAAACACAGCAAAGAGCAGGGGGTGCTAGACGGAAAGGGACACTGCGATGAAAATGGGCCCACCTAAGTAGTCAGGACGGAGGAAAGGGAGGAGTTATAATATGCACATCAACTACAGATTTCATGAACTTCAGTCATTTTGTCCAAGAAAGAGGTAAACAGCTTTATTTCCTCAAGCAGATGCAACAGAGGAACTTCCACATGTACTTGAACTACAAGACAGTTCGAGCATTCTGCTATAAACTGGTCTGAGCTTATTTTTATTTCTAGGGTTCCCCCCCCCCGCAATATTTCCAAAATTACGACCTGCCAAAGTTTCCATCAGATAAATACTTATAATGCCATATGCCTAAAAATAAATGGCAAACGAAAAGTCACAGAGACCATGAATTGTGCTTAATTGTGCTTGCAGAGACCATGCAAGTTTTAAACCCTGCCGTTGATTTACCTGGCAGATACTGGTCTTACCAAGAACTCTTGACTCTCAAGGTCAAAAACACAAGAGAGTTCAGAAGAACTCATCATATTAAACACTGCCGTCCTCAACCCAAAGTAGCTGAGCTCTAACACAAGCACATATATAGAGAGCCAGTGTGATGCTGTGGTTAAGAGCAAGGGACTGGGACTCAGACGATCCGGGTTCAAGTCCCTGCTCGGCCATGGAGCCCACTGGGTGACTTTGGGCCAGTCACTGCCTCTCAGCCCGACCTACCTCACAGGGTTGTTGCTGTGGGCATAAGATGGAGGAGGAGAATGATGTAAGCTGCCTTAAGCCCTTTGTAGGAAAAAGGCAGGACATAAATCGAATAAATAAATAAATAAATAAATAAATAAATAAATATAAATGTCTGTGTTAAAGAACTATTTTTGCTGTTCTAGTATAATTAAGAGCTAACAATGCAAGCACATTTCACGGCATGAGAAATACTTCGTTCTCACTTCGCCACCACAAACAGAAGAGATATTAAGAAGGCTCCATTTTTTAAATACAATTTTTATAAATACCAATTTATGGCCTTGTAAGCTTTCCTAGCATTAAGCCACCCCAAGTGCCGTTTTTCTTGATTAAAAGGCAGGGCGCACATCAAATCAATCGGTAAGTATTAATTCTGAAGGAAAACATCATTCACCTCTCTGGCAGCAAAAGTCATCCACCCCACACACTTCCTCGCAAGCACACTAGTTAGTCCTGCACACAGAAGTACCCTGCTGTGATAGAGCCTTCAAGATAGAGCCTTCAACTCAGCGTCTTGACAGTCTTGCCATCACAACATCCTGGGGCAGTGAATTCCCTTGTTTAATGGTACTTCCTTTCAACCAGCACAAATCTCCCACCATTTGGGGTTTGGGCTCTAGCATAATGGGAGAGGTTGCTCTTGCTTCCTCCACGTCACACTTAATTTATGAACCTCATTCGTACCTTTACTTGCCTCTGTTCTACACTGAACATCCCCCAAAGCTGCAGCCTTCCTAGAGTTGCACCAGCCCCGATAATCTTTGAAAAAATGGTGGGTGTGTGTGTGTGTGTGTGTGTGTGTGTGTGTGTGTGTGTTTGGCCATATAAAAATGTAATAAAGGCAACAAAATAATCATTTGGGTTGTCTTGTTCTGCACCTTTTCCCACTTTCCTTTTTGAGGTGCAGTGACTACAACTATTCCTTTAAGAACTCTCCAGTGGATTCCATTCAGACCTGGTGATTTGTTAGGTTTACATTTGACAATAAGGCCTAACCCTTTATCTCGCTGACACTGCTATTTGCTTCAGTTCTTCAGGTTCCCCTCCTGAAAAGATAAATCCAGGCAGAGGTACCTGCTTTTGATCTTCTTTAGTGAGGACAGAAGCCACGGACTCTTTCCGTGCCACGGCCATCTCATGATCCTCCCTTACACCTCTCTGCCTTCCTCATTGCTCAACAGAGCCAGTGTGGAAGGTGACCAGAGCGTGAGACCTGGGAGATCCAGGTTCTAGTCCTCATTGAACCATCAAGTTCACTGGATGACTTTAGGCCAGTCCTGGACTCTCAGCCTGACCTACCTCACAGGATGGTCGTCGTGAGAATAACACTGGCATAGCAGAACATGATGTAAGCTGCCTTGGGTTCCTTCTCAGAGGAAAAAAAGGGGTGACGTACATGCCGTGGAACAATGAATAATAGACACAGCACAACCAGCTTACTGATTTCCTGATCCAAATTCTTAAATTTGAGCAATAGTGCCTCTCAAATTATTTTGGCATTCTTTACTGCCTGCTCAGATACACGGGCAGGCACTTCCGGAAAGTGGTGCCAAAATTATGGAAATGAGTGCATTGTTAACCTGCACACGGATACCTAGAAGAAAGGCCCACTGTGAATACACTTTCTTCACACAAGCTGGAGGTGTGGAGCAGCACAAAACCAAAGCGGTGCAAAACTAACTTGCTTCACCCACACAATTCCTCTTTTTATATTGTCGTGTTCTGATATGGAGCCAGAAATTACCACTTTCTGGTATGACAATAACCAGATTTACACAGTTGCTTTTTCTAGAAACGAAAAAATGACTTAATCAGCTGTACTATTCCATTTACAGGACAGGAGAGCCTAGAGGAACGTTGTCCGTGGCATCGTGATGGGTCAGGCACGACTTTGCAACTAAGAACATCAACGAATTCCATTTACAAACCATCTCAGAGAGTCACAGAGTTAAGGCTGCTCCCGACCCCAACTTTCTTGCACAGTTAAATGTGCAAATTGTTGCAAACCCAAATCGCTTTTTATTTACTAGAAAACCTACTGCAGGCAAACTGTGTTCTCATATTGCAACATTCTGCTCCCTAAGAAAATGCTCACTCGCCAAACCTACAATTTTCATTGTTGCCTGACGTGCAGCATGGAGTCTGGCTAAGCTGCTTAGAGGCACCTGTGACATCACCAACGAAGCGAGACACCGTCCCCATGCAGACATACTTGCGGGCACTTTTAAGGTAACCAGGAGAACAAGTTCCTTCCCATGGAATGAACTCTGCCAGGTGAGGTTTTCTTAATTTTGTAGAGAGGAAAACCTGACAAGTTCCAGGAAGATTACCATCCCTACTGTAGAAATCCGCAGGATCCATCTCTCTTAATTTTATGAGTTCTTCCCCTTTCCAGCATTAAAGCATCTATCAATCGCAGGTGTTTGTGCAGGAGAGGGGAAGGGGAAGGCATGTCATCCCAGTATTCAATACTTCAGTAAGAAAAAGTAGGGAGCTCTTGACAATATGTAATCCACACTAATTCTGCTTCTGCACAAAACTAGCATGACATCATTCCCTTGAACCCATTCCTGCCGTTCTGACATTTTCACTAAGCCCTTGCCCCAAGCCTGCACCCCTTATCTAAACACCCCATTTCCTTCCCTACACTCCTTCCAACTTCAGCACCTCCCACCAGACTGCGCAAACAGAAAAATCACACCCATGGATTAAACCAAAATCGTTTTCACCCCCTAACTGTTAAGCCATGCCACCAAAGTGCTTTTGCAATAACTAAAGGTATATGTACACAGTCAGCTTCAGAGTCTGTTATTGCATGATTGCCCCAACCAAGAAATTCCAGGGTATTTCAGCTCACCACCTTTGCTAATGATATCAGAGTTTGATTAACTGGGCCATCTAGGATGTTCTGGAAAAGACCTGTGAGACGTTGCTGCGGACACAAACGGTCTCTCACAGGGCTCTTAAAGAGAAGCACGATTCTTGTGGCATGCCCTTCTTCGTCAGGGGCGCAGAATGGGCAGCAAAAACAATGGGGAGGTAACGTTGGACTGGGCAGCTCAGCAAGGGCCAAATGGCAGAACTGCTCTGCAGCCAACTCCCACGATCTGCCACTCTCCAGTCATGTCAGATTATCATTCCCATTTGCTGGAAGCTGTGCTCCAAGCAGGAGGCTCCCCTACAAGCTATTCTTGTAGTGCACACAAAAATCACGATTCGTCTTTTAATTTCACCCTGAAACCATTTTTAATTTTGCTATAAATTCGCACATACAGCATGCACCATCTTTAGTGCCCACTTCATGCAAAAGGGCATACGCCTGTGCATGTGTCCATCCTGACCTAGGCCTTATCATCCACCCCATCCAGAGCGCAGCAGGGAGTTGAAAAGCTGCAGCCCCTGCATTTAAGATCTTCACCAACACCAAGGAAAGGCTTTTCTTTGCTGCAATGTCCCTCCTGAAGAATTCTGTCCCCAAGACAACTTGCTGGGCACCGACTCTGCTGTCACACTGGCACGAGGCAAAGATGCCATTTAATTCAATTCCAGCTGTTTTATCTCACCTGGATCTAGATGTGTTTGGTTTTCATGTTGCTACTGTCAATCCTGATGCTTAGCTTGCAGTTTAGCTGCCTTTGGCATTGTGTTGCTTGGAACAGTACACACCCCTTAAATATAGAAAGGGTCCTGAGATGTTTTGCTGTTCTCCTCCTACATGATCCTATGCAAGTACACAATCCTTTTTTTCTAAATGCCTATTTCCACCAAATGCCGAACACCAAACTATAGGCCACAACCGACAGGCCTGGCTTTCAAGTCTGCGCTCACACATCACATTTACTGGGCATCTCTGGGCCAGAAACACTTCCACACCCTCACTCGACCCCAACCTACCACCTAGGTCTGTTGTGGAGATGAACATTACGTTGTACAGAAGCCTTCCCCATGCACGGCCCTCCAGCAGAATCAGGCTGCAATGCCCCTGGTTCCCAGCCAGCATGGACATTGCCCTTCCTGGCTGGGGATGATGGGAAATGGAGTTCAACCCATCCAAAGGGAAGTAGATGGGGGAAGGTTGCTGCCCGACCCCTTTGGCAGAAAGGCGGCGCAGAAACATCATTAAATAAATGGAATTAATCTGCTATGTACGGTTACAGAAGGGCTAAAGACTGCAGCCGCGCAGATCAGCCATGCGGGGCCCGGGCAAATCCTGCTCCTCATTCATTCCCCGCCCCGCCCCTTCCTCGAGGCCCCGCCCAGAACGGCGCCCGCCCCGCCCCCTTCCCCGAGCCCCGCCCGCCCCTCGCAGGCGCACCCCCCGCTCGGCGCCCCCTTGCGGTCACTCACGAGGGCGGTTCTTGCGGTGAGAGTCGAGGCGCGGCCGGAAGGCGGGGCCAGTGCGCTCCTTGTCGCGGCCCGCGGCGGCCTCGGCCCGCCCAGAGCCACCGCCGCAGCGCCAGCCCCCGCCCGGGGCCGCAGGGGCGGGCGCCCGCCGCAGCGGTGGCCCCGCCGGGGCTCCCGCATCGCTTCCCGTCGCGGCAGCCAGCGGAGGCCGCGCCGCCGCCTCAGCTTTCCCCTTGCCACTTCCATTCTGCAGCGGCTCCATCCGCAGCGTTGCCCGGCCCCATTCGCCGCTGCAAAAGCAGCAGACACTGCGCCTGCGCCAAACGCCTTTTTCGCTCCCTCCCTTTTCTCATCGGGGGGGGAATTCGGGGTTTTCTCACACATGCACCAATCGGAGCCTCCACTGGCTGGAGCGACAAATAACCTAGCGAGTAAGATTAAGGAAAGCACGCACGGGCGGGCGCAAGAACAAATCCCTCCAATCAACCTCGCCCAATCCTCGTGATTGACAGCAGCAAAAAAAGCAAACCACCAGTTTGAATGCAACGAAGCTGTTGTGGAGGGTCGGGCCACGAGGAGCGGAACGTATAACGGCAGCGTAGCCAATCGTCTCCTTCAGAAGGGAGAATGGCAGGTCTGCCGTCCAGTAAGACGAAAATCGTGGTGCTACGGGGCGGAGCTACAGGGAAGATTGGCATGCCAGGTATCCATGACTACCCTGGAAGGACAGGATTTGGTGCAAGAAGAAATAAATGCGAGCGCACTAATAACAGTCTATTTACCTACGCAGATTTGAAAAGGGTCACTGATTATGTATATAAATTAATGGACACGCACACATATATAAAGGCGTGAAAAAATAAGTGTTCAAATCAGTTCGAAGCATCACCCCAGTAATGTAGACACCAGTACTGGTGGACACACTGAGCCAAGGCCGGCCATGGTTCCTGGCTAATGGCGGCCTGGCCAGTTCTGCAGCCTGTAACCATGGCCCACGTTTCGCACATTAGTAAGCAAAGCTTTCTGCAGCATAGAAGGGTGCACTGTCCCCTATGCTCGCCTTGGTGCCCACTGCAAGCTTCTCCTAAAGGCACAGCTGCAGGGGCCAGTAAAAAGTTGGCAACCCTGCACATTCATTCGTTCGTTCGTTCATTCATTCATTTGTGCTCACAGCACAATCATAGAAATACAGATAAAAATAATTAGCAATGATAGGTAAAACCATAAAACAGAATAGAATAAAAATACAATATAATTCCGCGCATCTCGCCATCCTGTCCTTCTGCCCAGGTTGCCAAATTCACTGCTGCTGGGCCTTTTCATGCTGGGCCTCTTACACACAGACTCCCCACGGGGATTGAACCAACCCCACAGAGACAGGAGTGGGTGTTAGGCTGGACCCACCTGGCTCAAGATCAGCATAACAGAATGTTATCAGCTGTGTATTGAGTTAGCATAATAGAAGGCTTTGTGTATTAAATTAGCCTAATAGGAGGTTTATCAGTTGCCCCAGGCATATACAGAGTGTTACTTCAGAAAATGGGCAAGGTTTATCAAAGGCGTAAAACTTGAAAGGATAGACCAACTGCAAACCGCTCCGCTTTTGTATCAAAATGTAAACTAACCGCAAACAGTCTGGCTTCTGTATTATGCTAGCTCACTTAGGATGCCAATAACAATTTTCCATTTGTTTGTAACAAGGTATAAAACCCTGCTATCCCTCTACTGGGGGCCGGCACTCATCCCATCTTTGTGTGAGAGTACTGGTCCCTGTACAGGTAATAAAAAAACTCCTCTTAAAAAATACCAACTGGTCTCTGGTCTCATCTGTAAAACCGTGGGACACAACAGCGGGCTTGCCGTGGCACCTGGAAACAAGCCACCTCCTCAGAGACTGAGGAGTGAAGGCTTCTCAGCCTCCATGCCAGAAAAAGTTCCACCTGCCGCATTTCTGCTCCGTGGGCTAGCCGCAAAAGGAAGCCATGCAGGGCTGTATTTGGTGGCAACTGTTTTTCCAGACCCTCTGATGCAACGCATAATATGCGGACAAGAAGGGCTGATCTCCCTGGGAAACATTTTATAAACAGGATAGTCTATAGGAAAGCTTGTGACTTTCACGCCCATTTTGAGGGGAAATTGCAAAACTTCATTTTTGCTTACTTCATCCAGTGTGGTAAGTTGGGTAAATTTATCTGAAGGACTTGCAGGAGGTTGCAGACGGAAGAAAAATAGTAGCCGGGTGAACTTTGCAGAAATGGCTAATACAGATTCTTAAAGTGTAATGTACAGAATCTTAAAAATAACCAAATATAAAACAGTGTGGGTGAGACAAATCATTTTATTATTTTAGTACTTTTCTACGCTGCCTTTCTTTCAAGGAACCCAAAGGCGACTTACAACGTCCACCTTTCTGTGTTACCCTCACAACAACCCTAAGAGGTAGGTTAGGCCGAGGGCTTGGGGCAGGCCCAAAGTTGCAAAGCAAGCCTCATGGCCACGTGGGCACTTGAACCCGGATCCAATACTCTCCCCATGACACCTGGGCTGTTAATATAATTTGAGTGCAATTCTCTGGCCATTTCACAGGATCTAGGTGGCTGTGGGAGTTTTTGGGATCCCAGTGGTGACCTTGAAACCCAGCTCCAAATCTGCTCCCGGAGGGCCTGCACCCGAGCCGGGCAGCCGGAAGGGGCGTTCCAAGGGTGCGGAAGACAGGGGACTGGCCCTGCCACGGGGGAAGGAATCCACACCACTTATCTCTATGCTGGGGAAAACCTATTATTTTTCACATCTATGACACTTACCCTGATGGGGAAAAAAAGTTAAAAATTGGTTTTCAAAAATTTAAAATGGATTTCAATAGCCACTTGGAAAAGTGTACCACACTTCTTCATCTTTAATATTTATTATTTATTTATGTACATATTTATATGCCATCTTGGCAGCTTACAAGCACATATTCAACATATTAAAACAACATATGAAACATATCTATAAACACAACATGTTAAAATCTATTAAAAACAAAAGATTAAAACATTGATATACGATAATATAAAAAGCCCACCAGCAAACTGGCACTGCCACCAGGGCAAAGTATTATTATTTTTTAAAGGTTTAAAAGTGGGAATGTAAAAGTGAGAATTTCAACAGTATAGAAACATAGAAACAGAGCGAGTCAGAAAGGGTCTCCCAGGCCATCTAGTCTGACCTCCGGCACCAGCCGGCTCCGCTCATGACATGCCCACCATGTGCACGTCCAGCCTATCCTTGGCAAGGTGCTACCCTGGTATCCTAAGATAAAGGGCATATTCAAAACACTTTTAAAAAGCAAAAAAAGTCTTATACAACTATTAATGACTCTCTGCACAGCCTTTATTTATTTATGTACTGATTTATTATTATTATTATTATTATTATTATTATTATTATAACATTTCTATGCCGCCCCTTGCCGAAACTTCGGGGCGGCTTACAACATGATAAAATACATTGAAATACAATAGTACATAATAAATTACCATTAAATATAAAAATACAAAAAATACATTGATTTACAAATACAAAATTAAAATTATCAGTATAAAATAAAAATATAGGATGAGAAAGAGAAGGAAGAAGAAGTTGCCCAGGCCAGATCATATGTTTTAACAATTGAAATGATGTTTAAATAAAAAGGTCTTTACCTGGCGCCGAAAAACCAGTAACGACGGTGCCAGGCGGACCTCTTTGGGGAGTGAATTCCATAGGTTGGGCGCCACCGCAGAGAAAGCCCTCCTCCGGGTACTTACTCTCCTAATTTCTTTCATGGAGGGTTCCCGGAGAAGGGACTCTCCCGCAGATCTCAAAGGGCGGTCGGGCATATACGGACGTAAGCGCTCGTTCAGGTAGCCAGGACCCAAGCCGTTTAGGGCTTTGTAGGTCATAATCAACACCTTGATATTGCCCAACAGCCGAAACTCTCTGGACAGTTCACAAAATACATTTTTAAAAACAATAAAGAATACATTATATTTTTAAAGCTTAAAACATCATCAAAAGTTTTTTATTTTTTGTCATCGACCTGCACAATTCCTCAGAAATTTGCTAAATTCTTCATAAGTGTGCGTAGGCATGTACAGGGCTGGCAAGGAAATAGGGACAGCAGAGTTGAAAACTGATTCCGTCAACCCCTCGGAACCTAAGAAGAGATCTATCAGACCAAAGCACTATTTGGTCTACTATTTTGTTCTCTTTGTGTTTGCCCAGGTATGGGCAACTATTTTAACTATTTCATAAATAGTTAAATAATAGACTATTTCACCTGCATGCAATGCACTCTGAATAGTCCTGAAAATGCTGGCTGCTCTCTCACTGCACTTCATAGATCTCTTGGGATAGATGCACGCGTTAACCTAGTGACCCAGTTACATAGAATTACTGGGTATTGCCACAGCATTGGCTGAAACCTTCTAACTGCTGCATTTTCACCCTCCTTCCTTCCCCCCTGCATCTTCTTAAAGCCTGCTGCTTGGGTTAAGCCTCTGCATCTGGAAATTGTCAATACTTTGGAAAGCTGTCTGCTCTGATGCTAACAGGAGAGACGCTGCGTATCAGTCATGGAGTCCCAGAAGAAAGGAGCAGGGTGATGTTGCTCATTTCCCGAAGTGATGGAATTGGAGAAGCAGGAGGGAATGCAGTAAGAAAGCAACACAGGAAACGGAAGCCTAATCAGGTTTCTATGCAGAGTGTAGAAGCCATACAAACATTTCTTGAGAGATTACCCATGTAATGAGCTGGCAAGTTTTATTTCCTGCTTGCAATGTTTGCACTGCACAATCGTATTCCCAATCGCTATGTCTGAATAGCAGAAAAAGCTGGCAGAAAGAAAATGGATGCATTTGAAACATGGTGCTGGAGAAGAGCTTTGCAGATTGGACTGCCTGGACTGACAGAAAGATGAACAACAGGGGTCCTAGATCATAGAACCATAAAATAGTAGGGTTGGAAGGGGCCATGAAGGCCATCGAGTCCAACCCCCTGCTGTTGCAGGACACCACATTACAGATCAGATCAAGGTAGAACTTTTCCTGGAAGCAAAAATGACAGGACGGAGACTGTCATATGTTGGCACATCATGAGAAGGCAAGACTCGTGGGGAAAGCCAAAGGCAGAAGAATTGCAGGAAGGCCAGTCTGAGATGAACTGATTCCATAAAGGAAGCTGCAGCCTTGAGTTGACAAGAGCTGAGCAAGGGCAGGACCTTTTGGAGAACATCCGTGAAGTCGCCATAAGTCAGGGGGTAAATGATAGAATCCGTTATTGATTACACTAATACTTGCTCTAATGATTAACAATGAACCATTAATTATTAGATAATAAATAGAACAACAGAACTCCACTCCTCTCCAGAGCTTCAACACTAAGGGACCGTGCAAAATGCTGGGATTCAAGAGCTCCTTGAATCGGAGAGTTACAGCCTTCTCAGCTGAAGGCAACGCCTATGCGGCCCTCCTTATTTGATGCAAGAGGGTGGGATTCAGGAGACTGCTCGGGAATCTCACAAAATGTGGCCAAGTCCATCGCACATTGTTCAGGGGTCCCTGTCCCTCAGAAAGGACTCTTGGAAGGGAGCACAGGAGAACACAGGAGCAAGTGACCCCTTTCTTCCTTGAACTTCCCAAAATTCAAGCCACACCATTTAGCTTTTCTTGGTGCAGGTTGCAATTGTATGCCTACAGAATCATCTATATTAGAGTTGAGGGCAACCTGCAGCAATCCACTTATCATGGTAGAGAGTGAGCAGGCGTGTGAGGTGTGAGCTGAGCAGAACACACATGACCCCTCTGTCATCAAGGCAGAAGTTTTGGGGATGTGCTCAGTGTCATCAGCTCCTGGCTCACAGGGAACAAGGGTGTTTCCTGGAAACCAAGGCTGCGAACCTGGAGAAACCGATTCTGTGCTCAGAACATGCTACTGTCCCCCAGACCAGAAAGCTCAGTGCACTCTTGAGTGGGAAATCACAAATACCTCAGTTTGCAATAAGTGTTGCAATCACGGGTGACTTCAAACACCCCCACACTGACTGGATAAATGGTTCTTCCGGGTCTGAGAATGGCTGCTTCCAACTGTGCCCTGGAACTGTCCAGGGATGTCCATCATACACTGAAGACCACTGGCCTATCTGGCACCATATAAGGAGCCCAGCTGGCAATTTGCCACTATGTTTGTTTGTGTATACATGTATTTATAGACCACCTGTAATTGCCAAGGCCTTCCTCGGTGGCTTACAATACATTAAACATATTAAAACATAACAAAGCACATTAAAAACCTATTAAAACACTAATGGATTAAAACATCTATAATGGCAATATAAAAAGGGCCACAGCATTCAGGGGATCAGCGTTAAAACATTTCCTAAAAAGGTTTGTCTTTGCCTGGTGCTGAAAGGAAAATAAAGACGGCACCAGGCGGATTTCCCCAGGTAGAGAGTGCCAAAGATGGGGAGCAGCAGCGGAAAAGGCCCTTCGCCAGGTTGCCACCCCTCTCATTTCCCTGAGGGATGGTTCTTGTAGAAGGGCCTCCCGAGCTGATCTGTGGGGGCGGGTAGGTATATATGGGTGCAGGCGGTCCTTTAGATAGCCAGGCACCAAGCCTTTTAGGGCTTTCTATGTCAATACAAGCACCTTGAATTGGGCCCAGGCACAACCAGTAACTGGTGTAGTTCTTTCAGGACTGGTGTTATATGGCTGCTCTAGAGTATGAGTCACCAACCAAGCGGCCTGATTCTGCACAAGTTGCAATTGCCAGACCGTCTTCAAGGGTAGCCTCACCCAGAGCGCATTACAATAATCTGTTTTGGAGGTTACCAGACATGGCTAACGATCCACAGGTTCCCCATCTAGGTAGGGTTGGAGCCGGAAAATCTGTCGCAGCTGCATAAAGGCACTCCTGGACACAGAGTCCATCTGATCCTCCAGGGACAGACTGGGGTCCAAGAGCACCCCCCAGACTGCAAACCCTGCCCTTTGTGGGGGGTGACCCCATCCTGGACAAAGTAATGTTCTCCTAACCTATCAGAGGTCCCCCCCTACCAATAGTACCTCCGTCTCACCAGGATTAACCCTGTTGATTGACCCTCATCCAGTCCAGTATTGAGCCCAGACCCTGGCTCAGGACAGCAACAGCCTCACCTGGATTAGAGGTAGAGCGGATTATCATCAGCAGCATCCTGCTGACTCCTCAGCCCAAACCTCTGAATGACCCCTCCCAGGAGTTTTGTGTAGATATTAAACAGCATGGGGGACGGTACAGAGCTCCGAGGAACCCCATGCCGCAACTTACTGTTTAAATTAAATTAAATTGTTAAATTATTTGCATTTATAGGATTTTAAATTTTTAGCCGAGATGCACCGGAGGTTTTTAAATAAATTTTTTATTGTTATATTGTTATTTATTTTGTTTCTGTTGTGAGCCGCCCCGAGGCTTCGTTGCGATGGGGGCAGCATAAAAATGTTTTAAACAAATAAACAAACAAACTGCCATGGGGCAGAGCGACTGTGCTTCCTTTGACCAAAGGGTGTTCGACCTGTTCTAGATGGGGCTTACAATCCCCGAACGAGCAGGTTCATAGCCAGCGGGAGCTCCTGGATCCATCTGTGTCATTTCAAGCTCAGGTGGCACCGATGGGTCTAAGTGCCTTCTATCAGCTTTGGCTGGTGGCCCAGCTGCATCCCTACCTGGCCAGGGAGAGCCTGGCTTCGATAGTCTATGCTCTGGTAATTGCCAAGATTAGATTACTGCAGTGCATTCTATGTGGGGCTGCCCTTGAAGACAGTTCGGAAGCTGCAGCTGATGCAGAATGAGGCAGTCAGATGAATAACCAGGACCCACAGGTCCAAACACGCAAGGCCAGTTCTAGCCCATCTGCACTGGATGCCTGGATGCTTCTGGGCCCAATCCAAGGTGCTGGTTTGATGCTCTGAAGCCCTGCATGGCTTGGGACTGCAGTACCGGTGGAAGCAGTGTTCCAACCCCAATCTAACTGGACACGATGCTCAAGGTGGTATCTAAATGCTTTATATAAATAGCAAATACACCTGGGGTCTTCCTCCAAATGCCAACCCCTTGAGATGCTCGGAGGAGGCAACTAAGGGGAAGGCCCACTGGGGCAGCCCCCCCATCTTTGGAAAAACCTCCCTGCTGCGGCCCATCTGGCGCCAGATTTGCCATCTTTTCTGCACCAGGTTACGACAGCCCTGTATGCAGAGGCTTTTAATTATCTCCTTGGTCATCCAGGGGCCCGAGATGATTATCCCGATAGTTCTTGTTGGGTCTTTGTATTTTTACTGTATTTTAAAGCTGTTTTAACTCATTGTTTTCTCCCATTAGTGTTGCATTCTACGTATCTATATTATCTACGTATCTACATCAGCCCTCTTTCCACATTTTTTATCCTTTGCTGTTCCAGAAGGCGGCTTTGCGTCCTTCCCTGGTATTCTCTTAGTTCATGCTGAATGTACGTGATTTTAGCCAAGCGCATGAGTGCCTCATGTTCCCTGCCTTGCAATACTTTTGCTTCCATGTGCTGAGGAGACGTGTGAATGTTAAGGTGGGAGCGTGAAGTCGCCAAACACAGTTTTGGCCAATCATGTTTTTATTTTTGTAAAAGCAAGTACAGAGGGCTAAATCAGTGTGCAGATGAGGCAGGCAGGTTTTGGCAGGAAGAATGATACAATCTCATCATGTTTTTTAAAGAAAGCCTTGATAATAAAGTAAGAATGGCAACAATATGCAATCGCAAGGACTTCTACAATGACTTATTAAGCCTGGATTTTGCATACTTGGATTTAACTCGTTGCCCTTCTTTGACTTTGATTTGTTTTAGAATTCTTGTCATTCTTGTGAGGCCTTGGGTGTTTTTCAAGAAATGGAAAGGCAGATTGCAAAATTTTGCAATAAATAAAGAACAAACACCTATACAGACAACAAACAGAGCCCATGGTCTTACAACTTCCCCAACCCACTGCCTATCAGGGGTGTTGGACTTCAGTGTCCATCATCCTTAGGAAGCACTATTGGCAAGCACCAGGCTGAGGAAGCATGCTTCATCTGATTACAGAAAAAAACACGAGTGTTTCCAGGAATTCCAGCAGCAATTTCTTCTTTCAAAATTGAAGAAGAAATTCTAATTTTGTGGGCACTTCAGCAACGGCCTTCAGAATCAGCCCTTTCTTCTTAAATGTTAAAAAATAGGCTCCTGGGATTCTATGAAGGCTGAAGAGGGGTAAAGGAAGGTCAGGAGAAAGCTTAAAGACCCAACGGCTCCCTATTCAGGAACTCTCTGTACAAGACATTTTACGAAGCTTTGGTCAGAGATCAGGCAAAACCTAGAAGCCTAAAAGTAACTATGACCAGGGGTACAGGGAACGCCCATTCACAGAGAGGAGCTAAGCCCTGCACAGCCCAGCCCAGGAAGCCCAGACTACCATGTTAAGAGCAGGGCATCTCGGGGAAGCTCCACTGACTTGCCCAGCTCTGCTCCAGAAGGGCTAGCTCGCATTCACTTCCAGTTGCCCTAGAATGGACTCGCTCGTGGACTTGCTTCTGGTACAGATCACAAGTTCCTGGGCAGAACGTGTGCTCAGCGGGCACCCCGGCCCTTAACGCTCAGCATATGCTGGCCTGTTTGTGCCGCTATTTTGCAGCTGGCTGCAGGTGCTGAACCTCAGGGTTGCAGCAACAATAAAGGAAGTCTCACAAGTCAGCCTACCATGGACTAAAGGAGGCGCGCATTAAGGCAACTGGCAAGTGCAAAAGGGTGGTCGACTGCTGTGAGCGTTCCACAGCCTCTGTGGGAGGACATACACGAAAAGACAGCGACGCTCATTCCATTTCTTTTAAAAAACGGCATCCCGTAAGGCGTTGGGGGGCAAAGAAGGCGTCCTAACACTCAGGCGGGCACGAGATTTATGACTGATGTTGTGCTGGCTGGAACCCGTGGGCCATGCCGCTATTCCTTCTTGTACAGGGCAAAAGCCACCACAGCCACAGCCGCCAGGACAAAACTAGCGAGGAGCAAGGAGCGGTTGCTCGAAGGCCCTGAAACTGCCGCATCGTTCTTGTCTGGGAGGGGATTCTCAGAATTTTCAGGGCGGGAAGGAAGACTTCTGATGGGTGGGAGTCTAGTCGCCGTGTCAGAGAAGGCATCCGGAGATCGGCTCCTGTGGGTGTGACGCAGAGGAAGGCCGGGAGGTGTGCTAGTGAGATCGGGGCTGGGCTTCTCCTCCACGTGGAAGCCGTAGCTTCTGATGGAGCTGTCGGCCTGCTGGCAGCCAGGAGGAGACACATCGTCCGCTCTGTATGACACCTCTCTTCCCGAAAGGGGACCTACAGCTGGGCCGGGAAGCAGCTCTTCAGGCTGGCCGTCTTGGTTGAGATCACTCGCAGGAAAGGTGTTGTTTTCGAAAGTGAACGTGCTTAAGAGAAGCCTGGATGAGGTGCCCGAGTATGGAGGACTTGGCCCTCGGTCACTCATCAGATGGGCAGTGAGTTCCTCCCCAGCCCCACACGGGAGTGAAGTCAGCACGCCAGGCTTGCAGGGTGCCTGGGCATCATCACTGCTATAGAAGACACGGCCATCGGTGGCAAAGCGACGGACAGGACTCGGGTTCTCCTCCGGATTCCTACTTCTCCAGCCCGGGGCATTCGGAAGCCAAGAGTCAGGCACCTATGGGAGCGAAGAGGTCAGTTCAGCCTTTCAAACGAGGAAGGATGTTTCCAAATGAAGAACTCAGCTAGCTGGGTATGATCTGGGGGGCAGGGAGACCCGGGCAGCCAAAGCTAGACCCAGCCATGCAATATGCGAGGCCGCCTCCGAAAGCCTGGGAAGCCACCGTCCCGCTCGCATCTGTCTCCTCACACCCAGTTCTGGACTCTGCGCTTAAGGAGGACCCAGGTAACCTGGGATGAGTTCAGGGAAGAGCGATGAAGGTGAAGAGGGGACTACGTGAAGGCGCTGCTTAGCCCCGTGAAGGAAGCAGCACAGCGAGATGATGGACTTTCTAAGGTCTTCAGAGCAGTGCTGAGGAGCCCCCTTCCGCCCAAGGCCCAAATTCAATTTCAGAGCCGCTCGCAGCAGCCATGTTGCAGGGGTGGGGGGTGGGGGCACAGGCAAAGGAGGCGGGGCCAACCCCCCCACACACACACACACATATAGTAGTTAAAGGCTCTTGCTGCCAGGATGTAACCCTTAAGGCAGGCATTTCAGCCTTTCAGAATGGGGGGAAATGGCAACATGCCACGGTTCTGGTGTGGGGTGGGGTGGGGTGGCTTCTTGGGGGATCCTGGGACCCCATGCCCTGGCATGAGGTCTCCTTCCCCTTCTCTATGGGCTGCCATGTACAGGACAGCTACAGCCTGTTCTCTACTGCCCAGGACCACAGGGGGCAACAGATCTCGGTGACAGGAAGCCTGATTTTAGCTGAACATCAGAGAAACTTCCTATGGGTCAGGCCATGGAACCGGCAGCCTTGCGAGGCGGTGCACTCTCTGTAGCTGCAGGTATTTAAGTAGTGACCGGACAGCCATCCATAAGGGATAGCTTAAGCTGCATTGTTGCATGAAGTGGGGGTGTGGGGGCTTGGTTGCCTACATGGCCCCTTCCGCTCTGAGATTCTATAACATGTAAGGTCACCCCAGCTGTCCATCTGTGTCTGTGTTTTCAAGCTGTGTAGGCCTCTTTTTGGAAAGCACCCTTAAATGGAATACGTTTCCCTACGCTGTGAGGCAGGTGGGGCTGAGGGCCCCTTGTCTGGCCCAAACCCAGCCAGCAAACTTCATGGTGAGGTTGGTACCCAAACTCAGGTCTCCACAGTTCAACACGCAAACCCTAGAGCACTCCGGACCACTAACGGGGCCAAAGACAAGAGTGATGTAAGAACCCCCTTCTCTCCCTTGGGCTCCCTTTGATCATGCATTCATTCTCGGTCTCTCTCTTGCCCTCATGTCCCTCTCTCTCTCTCCAGCTCACACGCACAGACGGCCACCAAATGCCTCCATGCATTCCGCCGTGTTCCCACCTAATCCACCGTCACGCTCTAACCAACACAGGTGTTAAGCTCTTTTATCCTCACTAGCACGGCAAGGGACAGGGGAAGCTTAATTCTACTATCCTGCCTATTTTAAAATCATTTATGATCATTATTATGGGAGCGATTGCAATTACATTTAAATGGAGCCATAAAATCGTAAAGACCTCGTAACTGCATGCTCGCTTGAGGGGAAGCAGCATTTCCAGCAGCTGGGAGCAGAACTCCCTTTTTGCGGAACGTGTACGCACGCATGCATCTGCAGGCATGTGGCTCCTGCTTGGCCCTCAACACACACCTTGTATTGCTGCTGAGAGCAGGAAAAGGAAAGCCAGCAGGAGGAAGACAAACCTGGGCAATGCCAGCAGAGCAGAGCAAAAAGCAAAAAGCAAAGCGCCCTCCCGCACTGCTCCCGGCGTCGCATGCTGTGGGCAGACGGTGCCAGAAGCACACGGCCCGAGGCTGCTCCCTAAGTCCTCACTTTGCAGTGAATCAACGCCGGTCCCCCGCAGCTTCAACACAGCCGCGCACCTCCAGAGCTGACAGACTGCCGCTTACCTGTGCGGGCTGAGGGGCCGTGGCCGTGCGCTCTGGCCTGCTCAGAGGCAGCGGTTCCTCTTGAAGAGGCTTGGCGTTACCCGGAGCGGCGGCAAGTCCTGGAAGGGAGCAAGGCGGAATCACATCAGTGGAAGGAACTGGCTGAAGGCAAAAGCTGACGCCTAAAAAGATGGTGCTGCACACCGAGAAAACGCTCCTTTCCCAACGGGCTAAGCAGAAGGCGAGCATGAACAGAGGTTTAAACCTTTCCACCCAGGGCACTGCGATGGAGACAAAATTGCCGCGCTGCGTTCTCGATCGAGCTGCGGAGCTGTCGGGAAAGCGTGTGTGCTCCTGAGTGGGTGGAAGCAGGTGATGCGTGGGTGAAAATATGCGGGCGGCACGTGCCGGCAGCCACCCTGCCCACCGCTGGCACGCGGGTTCTGACCCCCCGAGCCGCGTGCCCCATGCCCGATTCAACGGAAGGGGCGACGGGGCTCTGCGTGTGCAGAATGGTGACCCAGGCAGGAGGACGCCAGATGCGGCCGTCCGAATGGGTGAGCTCCAGGACCGCGGAGAAGGGGTCTTGCGCCTGCTCGCCATGCTGAAGCTCCCAGCTTCAGCCCTGGTCATTTCGAGGCGAAGGGCTCGGGGAGCAGGGCACTGCAGACTCCTCCCTGCTGCTCGGAGCCGCTGCCAACCCGAGCAGGCAACACCGCAGTCAACGGACAAACGGTGTGAGCAGTGGTGAGGCGGCCTCCTGCACACCGAGGCTCGTCTCCATCATGATTCGGTTACGAACCCAAGAAAAGTCCTGCCGCCTGGGAAGCCCAGTGTCGTTTGCCCCAACAGGAATGCCACAGCCCCGCTCTGCCCGTGCTCCCGGCCAACCAATCACTAACTAACTACATGTCTTGGGCAGAACAAGCCGGCTTAAAAAAGCCACACACACACACACACACACACACAATGGGCTCTGAGGCTGGAAAAAGTGCAGAGAAGGGCAATGGAAATGATCAGGGGCTGGAGCTGTTTCCCTTGTGAGAAGCGGCTACAACACCCAGGACTGTTCAACGCAGAAAAAACACGAGTAAAGGGAGACACGATGGAGGTGTTTAAAACACTGCCTGGGTGGAGGCAGTGGGGAAGACATTCTTTCCCTCTTCCATAACATTTGAACCCGGGTCACCCCATGAAGCTGATGGGTGGGAGGTTCAGGACAGATCAGGGAAAGCTCTTCACACAGTGCGTAGTTAAACTGCAGAATCTGCCCCGGGAAGTGGGGGTGGTGGCCAACTGGATGGCTTTCAAAGGGGAGGGGGCTACCGGTGGCCACCAGCCTTGCTGGCCGTGTGCTCCCTCCTCCACCGGAAGTGCCATGCCTGCATATTCCCAGTTCCTGAGGGGCCTGGGCAGGAGGAGGTCTTGCACCAACCTGCTGAGGGGCCCTGTGGGCAGCTGGTTTGCCCCCGTGTGAACGGTGCCCTGGACCGGAGGGACCCTTGGCCTGATGCACCAGAGCTTTGCTTGTGCTCGTGCGTTCTCGTGAGAATGACGCACGCTTACCCCTTCTCCGGGGAGTCCCAGGCACACTGCCTGCTGGGTCAGCGGCAGGCGTTTCATTGCAATCCCTCAGTGCACTCTGCCTGCTCCGTTCCTGCGGGCTCAGCCGTCCTTCCAGTCCTTTATCGCATCGTCTTGGCGGGTGCAAGGTGTGTCCTGTACCTGCCGCATTCGCCAACGGGTCCTCGCCCGGATACCCACGTGGGGCTTGGCTCTTCTCTTGCTGCAGCGACGCACTGGCCTGCGGCTCACCTGGACGGCTCGGCACAACCGGACTGCTGTCAGAAGAGACATAGTAAGTCTCCTCCGGCTGATTACTGGAAACCCTGGGTCTTGGAGCAGCGACCCCTGCCAAAGAGACACCGTTATGTGCCAAGCGCTTCGCGTTCCCAAAATACCCGTTCTCGACACAAACAGGCTGTTGTGGGCGGCCATCCCATCTCTGTGTACCAGAATTTGAGGCTACTGGCTTGGGAACTGCTCCAGCCTTCTCTCCAAGGTGATCTTCAGGCAGAGTCTCAGGTGGCACACTTGCCACTGAGGCAGGCTGGGAATCCGTCGGTTTCGCCTCTGCAGTTCTCGGCTTAGGTGCTGATGGTGTGCACCTGTTGGAGGGTTCTGTTTTCCTGGCACTGTCTGTCACCTAAAAAGAATGCAATTGGAATGAGAGAAAGAACTCTTTCCTTCCATCGGTCCTGGACAGGGAAAGACACAAACTGGAAAAGGTTGCATAATACTTTAACATCTTAAAGTGAAGACAGGCAATGTCAAATATGTCTTTGGAATCATTCAAAACCATCTCCTCATAGAAGCTTGTGCTGAGGCTCAGTTAGGGCAGCTGGCCAAACAAAGCACTAGCATAAGTTTCTTACAGGCTCAACACAGTTGACTGGTCACAGCACAGTATATTTCTTGATGGGGGAGAACAGTTGGGAATGCGCAAATCTCCCTTGATTTTGCCCATCACTTCCCAAACTCTTACTACTCAGCCACAGTTAGTCCAATGCCAAAAGAAGTCGTGGCACTTCAGAGGCATTAAAATTGTAAGGATAGGCTTGACTCGATCTTTCAAGTTTTGAGCAGACAAACCCAAAGCTGGGTGGGGAGGGGGTGGGAAGCAACCAATCAACCCACCTTAGGTTTTATCTCAATTTCACTCTTCCGGTATGCAAGGGAAGATTCCTGAACGGGATACTGGTAATCATCCATACTGTCAGCAGCTGCGTTTGTGGTGGAGGATACCTGTGGAGCATTTACAGGTAATGGTGCAGGAGCTGAGGCTTCCTGGGGGCTTGGCATGCCGCGTGGTGGAGGAGGAGGAGGAGGCGGCGCAGGTTCACCCGAAGAGGGCAAGCTGGAGGGCCCTGCACTGGGCCTGCTGTGAGGCACTGGAAAAGGAAGGCACAGGCATGCAGCTGTTAATTTCCAAGGGTGAGGATGGGTGGGAAGCCCATCACTGGGGGACTGTAGTACATGCTCCCGCGTTCAGTCCCTGGCGTCTCCAGGTAGGGCTGGAGGAACTCCTGTCTGAAACCGTGGAAAGGTACTGCTGCCAGTCACTGTTGACAATATGGGGCTCGAAGGGCCCAGGAGCTTAACTGGGATAAGGCAAGTTCCAAACAAGAGACAAAGCAAGCGACAGTACATCCTCAGACTGGGAATGGGAAATGCAACGCTCGGAGAATTCTGGCACAGCCTCCCGCAAGCTGGTACGCTCCAGATGCTGTGGATTTCCACTTCCCTCAGTCTGGCCAGCCTAGCGCATGAAGAATGCCAGTTGTCATTGTCCGTAACATCTAGAGGGCATCAGATTGAGGAAGGCTGTTTGAACAGCAAGGACAGGATGACCCAACCCGGGACATTTTATTCCGCAGCTAAACCGGCTGTCCCAGTTCTTGTTCTTGTCACTGAGCAAGTCTAGGCACTGCTCTCGGTCGCCGGTCTCACGCCGAATCTGGTGGGCGGTGTGCCCATGTGGCTGAGCGGAGAGTGCTGCAGGGAAGCGCCTCTCCATCTGCCACAGCGGATTCACCCCGCTTGTGCCTGGCTGACACGGAGACCTTACAGGTCATGATCGGTGGCCTCCGTCAACAGGCCTTGGCTCTTGTCCCTGTCCCAGTCCATGCCTTCCAGAGCTGTGCGGGTGCTTCTCCCCTTTGGTTAGGGGTGGGGCGCATGTGGGCTGAGGAAGGTGATGTCCCAGTGGGGTGGCAGCTCCCCCTTCCCCGGAGCATGAGGCCACTGGCCAAACCTTGCAGCACCGGCACTTCAGTGCCACGAGATGGTGCTGACTTAGCCCGGAAGTTCCTCCCTCCACTGGACTAAAATCAAACTAAGCAGCTGCCTCCCATTTTACTTCTGTCCCTTGAGCCTGAAGTCCTACCAGGACATGCAAAAGGGGCCCCGCTGTCCTGAGAGGCGAGTTTATGTTGGCACTCGCAAGCCGGGGCAGAGGAAGCGTGCCGGGCCCCAAAGTCTATGATACTTGGGACGTTAACCTTCAGTTTGGCAACTTCAAAATGCAGATCCCTGTCCCTCATCAATCTTTCCAAACCACTGGTCACACTGGCCCTGAAAAACCCAAGCACAGGCTGGTAACAGGAAACAAGAAACAGAAAAAAACCCAAAGGTGGCACCCACCAGACTGCAAAGTCCCAAAACCCCCGATTAGGGTAATTTTTCGAGGAACCTACACCTACTTCAGCAACACTGCTTCCTTTAGGAGGGGTTCTGGCCCAGGCTGACAGAACGGGCTGGCTTCAGGCTGATTTGACAGAAGCCTCTTGTAAATTCTTTTTTTTTCTTTTAAACTTAGGGAATGTGCCTAGAAACTGGCGCTTCACGCTGCAGGTAGTTACAGCAGGGGTGGGCAAGCTCGATACCCCGAGGGCTGCACGAAACAGCGGGCTGACAGTTGGTGGCCGCACTCCAGGCCCAGCGGCAGGGCTGTCTGAACGCACGGGCCGGATGGGCCCTTGCCCGTGGGCCCCATACTCACCTGTGTATGTTAACCCTTCAATGCACCTTGTATCACATATGATACATACCGATCAGAGGTGTACAGTTACTTCACTAGTTGCCAATTTAAGTTCTTTTCTGCTTTGTATCATTCCTGATACACACCGGCACTGGGAGTCGTTGTCGCAGGGGCCCCAGCACCCTGCTTTGCCCGGGGCCCATAATGCTGTTACGACGGCCCTGCCCAGCGGGTCTTCTCCTTTCCTCTCCCCCACACACAAAGCTGCGCAAAGGTAAGTGCGGCTGCCTCCTGCCCCGCTCTGTCTCTCTCATGCAGACACGCAGCAGAGCCTCCCACTTCGCTCCCTTCCCCGGGGGATCAGGGATCGCAGCCATTTCCTCCATGGTTAGGGAAAGCTTTCCTCTCCCTGCGAGGAGGAGAGGTTGTTGCTTGAAATAGTTGCATCACTGAGAGGGAAACCACGGAGCTTGGCTGGCCAGAGTGTTCCCCTTTCTTTCTTCTCCTTCAGGAACCATGGAACATGGCCAGCTAGAGAGGCAGAGAACACTCTAGCCCGCCATACTCCATGATTTGCCCCTTAATGATGCTCTTCTTCAGGGAGGGCCTGCCAAGCTCAGCGGGCTACAAGGGCAAAGCGCCCATTCCATGCTCAGAGTAAGGAAGAGTTAAGAGGAGGAGGTGTGAGCAGTGCGTCTGAATGGTGGTGAGGGGGCTGGCTAGGCCACCCCTGGGCCACAGGCGGCCCACGCATCACCTACCCAGCTCGCAGCAGTGGTCCTGATGCCAACTGCATTACTAGCAGCCTCTGTGTATTTGTATCCATGAACTTCCCTGTACGTTTCCCATGCCATTTTCTGCTTCCTCACTAATTTGTGGGTTGCACAAGGGGGCCCAGCAGGGCTGCCTGTCACCAGAGAAGCCAATCCGCCGTGACAAAACCAGGAAGAGAAGACCAAGCAAGCATGGAATCAGTGGCAGTGAGCGCAGGGAGTGAGCGATTTCCTCGGGAGAGGCAAGGTGCAAAATTACTCCTAACCCTTCCTCAGACTTACGCACATATAGAGCTGCATTCGCCCCCCCCCCCAAATCGGGGGAAGGCAACCTGTGGGCCTCGAGATGTTTGTTTGTTTGTTTATTTATTCGGAGAACTTATATGCCGCCCCATTCGCATAAGCCTCGGGGCGGCTTCCAAACATAAACATAATTGATACAATTACATAAAATATTGGAGACATTCTGGCAAGAAATTATTAAAATCAATAAATAAAGTTAACAATTAAAATAACATTTAAATAAAAAGGTCTTGGCCCGGCGCTGGAAAGCAAATAACGACGGTGCCAGGCGGACCTCTCTGGGGAGCGCATTCCACAGATGGGGTGCCACCGCAGAGAAGGCCCTCCTCCGGGTACTCACCCTCCTAATGTCCTTCACGGAGGGCTCCCGGAGGAGGGCCTCTGCCGCTGATCTCAAGGGGCGGGAGGGCACGTATGGACGCAAGCGCTCCTTTAGGTAACCAGGTCCCAAGCCGTTGAGGGCTTTATAGGTAATAACCAGCACCTTGAATTGGGCCCGATAATGGCATGCACCTTCCATCAGTCCCAGCCAGAATCACCATTCAGTGATGGAAGTCCGGCAACAGCTGCAGGGCCACTGAACAATCCCAGAGTTAGCAATGCGAGGGACTGTGCTCACGTCATTTCTTTTACTCCCGAGTAGGAGGCCCATCTGCAATACTCTGCAGATCTTGTCCTGTGCTCCTGGGAAATCCCTTCCCCACAGGCCTCCCCCTTGATGGCTTATCCTTGACCCTAGTTATTGTGTTCGGATTTCTAGCAGTCGGGGCGGGGGGGGGGGGGACTACCGACCCAGCCAGGGAGCTATGACGGCATCTCAGCAAGCTTCATGGGAAACTGGCGTGAGTTCCAATGAGAAGTCAACACTGTTGTCTGCTGAAAAAGGTCAATGGGCAGGGGGAAGCAAAGCCCTGGACGAGAAAGGGAGAACGCCGGTGTTGCGGCTGGTCCAAGCTAGCCTCAAAGGCCCGATCTCCATTTTCCCCTTGAAGCCCAGCAAAATGGAGGCTGCTCTGGAAAACTAGTCCTACTGGGAGCTACTGCGGGCAAGTCCTGCTCAAAGTAATCTCTTATCACTTGAGAAGGTCAAGCTACTTTGGACGGAACCCTCCCAGAGAGAGATTTTCCCATGAAGAAATTGGATGGATAGAGGAAACTATACTTTAGGTCAATGAATAGGAGCAGACAAGAGTTCTTACCATGTTCAGTACAGCGGTTCATCTTTATGTATAAAGGCCATACTCATGAGCACTTCAGCAACTCCTCCACTGTTGATGGAATGAATTGGTTCTTTTCATCAAACTAAATCTACCATAGCTGCTTATCCATGACTTTTTAGATGCACTTAAATGGGTGTTCAGTCCACGAGACAGGAGGGGAATAGGGAACTGGAGTGCTTTATACAGCTTGATCTGTAGAAAGTGGCTTTCAGGTCTATACACGCCATTTCTCTAGGTTTACGACTGAGGAGGCTTCTACCATTCACGAAGGCACATGCCAGGGGCTTGCTCCGAAGCCGGCCACCTCTGCCAGACACTGGAGAAGTCCTGGTAACCTAACCTGATGTGGTGCCTTAGGTTGGCCTCTTTCAAGATGGAACTTACTTTCCACGTCATTTTGTCCTTGATAAATCTGAGATAATTGTGGATGTGCACGAACTTTTAAGGGATACTTCTGTGATGTGGGGATTAATCCAGAGTGGGATCAACCCTGTTATGGGATTAACACCCTGCTGTGCTCACACAGCATTGTCTTAACTGGACTGCACAGCCTGTTCATCGGCAACCGAGAACAGCACGTTGGCTTATGCTATTGGCGTAAGAAGCCCTACGCAAGACAGGACCCGGACTCCTGGCAGACCTTCTTCTGTTACAGGTACGAAGCAACATTTAAGGTGGCTTCTGGTCATTGTGAAGTTAACAGGATGATGATACTTGGTGGATACTTTCTCCATAGCACTGCCCACCCTTTGGAAAACGCCCTCAGGCACTTCTGGAGGCAGAAAACGTGGCATATTTCAAATGCCTCCAAACTTCTCCATGCAGGCTTCCCCTGGCTCATCATTAATCATGCTGCTTCACTTTTTTGTTACAGCTCATGTATTGCTCTACGTTCTCTTAATTGAATTTTAATACTCTATTTTAATTGCTTTTAAATGTGACTGTAATTGCCTAGCACTTTTAATCTGTTTAAACAGCGCACAAATACTGCACGTGAGAAACAAACGGAGAGCAAATGGGGACATGGAGAGGTTTCACTCCTGCAAAGACCCTTGTACTTCAAGCCCTGAAGAATCCATCCAAAGATCTCCCTGCTCTTGCTGCATTTCGACGTATCTCATTCCGTGATCAGTTTCATCTGGGTGTTTATTTAGATATATGGATGCTTCATATTAATAGTAGCTCATCTATTTGAAACTGCAAGGTCTAAGCTTTTTTTCCCCTCCCTTTAAGCACTTAATCGTGTTGTAAATAGGTGTGGAGAAAGATATGCTTTTCTGGGCACGTGCTTTGCGTTGGTCGCTTGATTCCCCCTCCCTGTGTGCTTTATTGCAATTGTTCTGGCAGCGGGACCACGTCCTCCACTGCACGCAATGCAGCGGGCCAGCCTCGTGGGTGTGCGGCCGGCTGCCTGGCAGGCCACTCCCTTCTTCAGCGCCTCGCCGCGGTCTCCACGCTTCTGCTACCTGAGGCGACGGACTCATTCTGCTTAATGGTGGGGCCGGTCCTGTCTCCAGAGGATCCTGAGGCATGTCATGTCGGGAGAGGACAGCCTTTAAGGCACCTCAGGTGCAATCTGTGTCCTTGCAGAGCTTGTCTCTCTCTCTGCCCTTTAGAGTTAAGCAGAAAAATGGCCTTCTAATCAACTGGTTTTTATTACATTCTGCTGTGAGCGAGCAAAGCTGGCCGGAGGTTACCGATTCAAGGATACACAAGCATCAGTGACCATGTTTGCTTTTGACAGAATCCATGCATTCCTGCAATCCAGCCCACTGGAAAGTTTCAGGCTCGTTAAAATTAACTCATCCCCCCTCCCCAATAGCCAGTATCTCAAAAACCGAACCCTCGAGGCAGTTCCTTGCTTCTCAGAGCCAACCAGTCACTCACTCCTCACTATTAGACCTCCCTCCTTGACAGCTCAACTTAACTGACCTCTCCTCCTCCTCCTCCTCCTCCATGGATTCAAGAGCACTTCTGTCCTTCCTCATCTCTGTAAGCCTCCCACAGACTTTTTTAGTAATTGGGACGACATACAAAAACCTTAAATAAACAAAATAACAAATATCTGCTCCTTCTCTCCTTGACTTTTTGTTCTCCACTTCCCCCACTTCCCCCTCCACTTCCTCCATTTCATCTGAGCTGGAATTGATTCTCATATCCTTCTCAGCCCCCCTGCAGAGCTCCTGGGCCTTCTCTACAGTTCTCTCAAGAGAACAACATCAGCTCTTTGGAATTACTTCCTAACCAGAACCACCCAAGGTAACCCAGCCACTGTGGAGAACAGCTGCAGAAGAAGCGTCAGAATTGATGCCGGAATTGATGCTGCTCCAGAACAGCGATTCCCAAAGGGGAAGGTACCACCACCCTGGGGCCACTGGGAAGATCCGGGGGGATAGTCATTACATTTTAAATTTGCAGTGGAGCAACAGACCTAATACAAAGAGAGAGGTTTGGGGGCACCAGGGTTGCTGCCCAAGAGGAAAGGGGGCAGCAGCTCGAAAAAGTCTGGGAGCCACGGTTCTACCACCTCTGCAAGGGGGCTACCACTCGGGAGCTCAGGCTGCTGAATCTTCGTCAGCCAAACACGCAACGGCAGGCCAACCCAGCGGTGGCTCCAAAGAGCACTTTTCCACGCCTGCGGAAAGCACGTTCAAAGGCTTCTAGGCGCTGGGCCCTGCATTCTCCTGAGAAGGACCCACTTGCCAAAGAAGGGAGGGGAGCTTACAGGACCGGTAGGAGTCATAAACACTCTGGATGTCCTCCGCGAGGTCTCCCAGGTTGTCTTCTCTGAGGCCGTCTATCAGGAGCGTCACCCAGCCTTCTCGGGACTGCAGGTGTTGAAAGAAGTCCCACACGGTCACATCGTTCCCCTCGCGGGCCACGCGCGCTCTTAACTGTTGCTACAAACGGAGGAACAGGCAGATGCAGGCATCAGGGACGGCAGAGAGAACAGCTGCAAGGAAGCCCCCGTCATGGTTGAATTCCCAGCGTTCGGTGGACACTGACACGCAGCAGAGCCCCATGCAGTGCCAGCATCCCCAAGACCTGAGCCTGGAGGCCAGCAGGACATTTGCAGAGCTTCGGGAACAGGAGAGGCAGTGTGGTGTAGTGGTTAAGAGCATGGGACTGGGACTCAGACGATGTGGGTTCTAGTCCCTGCTCAGCCATGGAGCCACCTGGGTGACTCTGGGCCAGTCACAGACTCTCAGCCCAACCTACCTCACAGGGTTGTTGTTGTGGGGATAAAATGGAGGAGAATGATGTAAGCTGCCTTGAGCCCTTTGTCGGAAAAGGGCAGGATATAAATTGATAAAATAAATAAATAAAATAAATAAAGGTGGCAACAGCTCAGGAAAAGCCAACTTTGGGAGGCGCCCACTCGTCGGCACCCCTCAAGTCCCCAGCTCTCTTCGGAGCCCTGCGTTATGCAAAGCTGTTTCGCAACTCTTCCAAGATAAGCCGCACACACAGAAAGAGCCTTCGCCGGTTCAGTCCAGCGCTGCCTACTCCAGCCTCCTGAACCCGGCACTCACCAGATGTCGGGCTACAACTCCCACCACCCCCAGCCAGCATGACCAAATGGCAGGGTGGGGAAAAGCAATTAAAGAAAATAAGTTGGATGCTTCAAAATAACATGCTCTTTGAGGGAATATCTATCTACAGGTAGCTGTCTAGTTAAGATGCATTATACATTATTATTATTATTATTATTATTATTATTATTACATTTTTATACTGCCCATAGCCAAAGCTCTCTAGGCAGTTGACAGCAATAATCATAGAATCATACACTCAGGTCACCCATCCCACTTCTGCCCAGGCCTGACCCTGCTTAGCTTCCAAGATTAGGCAGGATCATGCACTTCAGGCTACATGGAAGCTGATACATTATACATTATACATGATAGTCCAAAGGTTATTCATCATGCAATTGGGCAGCGTACCTGCTGGCCAGAACCAGTGTTCGTGAGCGAGCAGCTGCCCAGGCCCAATTCAAAGTCCTCACAGCAGCATGCAGATCCCACAATGGCTTGGGGCCAGGTCGTCTACCCGAGGGAGCATCTTTCTCCATAGGGAGCAACCCATTCACTGTGGGTCCTCACCCGAAGCCCTCCTCCGTGGTCCTTCCCTTAACCAAGTGAGCGGGGAGATAGCGAGGAGGAGGCTATTTCAAGTACAGCACCCCAACTCTGGAATTCAATGCCACTGGCGGTCCGGCCACTGCCTACTCTGTCGGCTTTTAGGTGCCAACTTAGGACACTTTCGTTCTATTATTTTAATAGGTGAATTCTTGGTTTTAATGTTGTTTTTAAGATTTTACACTATTAAATGCTGCTGCCTTCATGTTTTAAAATGCTAAATATTGATATAAATTAATTTTAATTGGTCTCTATTTTATTTTTGGAGCCTTATGTAATACTCTTTATTATTTTTATCTTGCTTAAATTAATTTTGGTAGTTTATTTATGGATTTTAGTTGTTCTTTTCTGTAAATGTGAGCTGTTGTGTTGTATATTGCACTGTTTATTATGTTGTATATGATTTTTTATCATGATGTAAGCTGCCCAGAGAGCCTATGGCTAGTGGGGCAGCATATAAATGGAATAAATAAAAAGGATTAGTTTCTAATTATGTAGCGTGAGGCTCTGTATTCGTGCAATTAAAAAGTTGTTTAAACTTTTTGATAAATGAATTCCATTAATCCATTCACAAGGCATGCTCTTTCAGAAGTTTCTGTAAGAATATTGGGCAGTTTTTCTACCTAGAAGGTATTATCACAAATGCTTGGATTTTACAGTTCTCAAAACTGAATCTGTGTTTGCAAAGATCACATGCCTCCTCCTTCACAGCAAAAATGTTACAAAATGAACAAACCGAGGTGAGTTAATATGGAGTTGAGTTAATCCCACTGTTCCTTTGCAGATCTGTATACACAGAATCAACCCCTTACTTCTTAAGTGCTAACTTTCAAAACAATCAATGAACAAAAGATGGTTGGGAGGAGAACAGATCTGCACAGAAAGCGAAGTGTGAGCAGGAAGTGGCAGGCAGTAAAACTGAAAGGGAAACCTTCTGAGCAAGATACTCCCCATGTCTTTACATCTTTTTGTGTATAGCCTGAGATTTCTCGTAATATTCTTTCCCGGGAGAAGAAAACCTGTAGTGGCAGCAGGCTGTAAAAGAGACCCAATTTGGGAATATTTTAATGAAGTTCCTCTACCTATGAGTAAGGCTGGCATGTGTGCAAATTAGGTAGAAAACCATGATTTAAATTCAGCCCTACTAACTAATGATTTAAATCAATTTAATATCAACTTTAAAGTGACTTAAATTTGCAGTCCAGCATATCACAAAAGATACCCTGGCAAAAATTGGCCTAGAGCAGTGGTGGCGAACCTACGGCACATGTGCCACAACGGGCGCACAGAGCCCTCTCTGTCGGCACGCAAGCCGAGTCGCCCCAGCATCCGAGCATCGGATCACAGAGCACACAGGGGCCATGCGCATGCTCGGAAAGGAGTAGCGGCGCCAGGCGATGACGTCACAAGCCACGACTGAGTATTTATTTTTATTTATTTAGCAAACTTATATGCCGCCTCATTTGCCTAAGCCTCGGGGCAGCTTACAAATAAATAAATATAATTATTTATATTTATATATATATTTATATATATATTTACCCGCGACTTGTCCAAGCTTTCGCATGGCCGGTCAGTGCACTGCCAAGGATATATAAATATTTATATATTTATGAGTTGTTTTTTGTAAACTAAAACCTCAGGTTTCAGGTTTTATTGCAGTGTTGGCACCTTGCGATACACAAGTGGGTTTTGGTTGCAGTTTGGGCACTCGGTCTCTAAAAGGTTCGCCATTGCTGGCCTCGAGGGATCTCCCTGGGCACACACTCAGCAATAGCTCCTTCAATCCTACACACCAGCCCAGAAAACACTTTCCCAAATAGTTACCCGGTCCATTTCGGTGAAGCAGCGCAGATGTAGCATCTGATCCACACGGATGCGATGAAACTTGCGCAAGTTACTATTAATATATTTTTTCACCTGATCCTCAGCGAAACCCATCTTCGGTTACTGACTGGAACAATGGGAGAAAGAAGCTGTTACTCTCCCATGAACATGGTGATCCAAACCCAAATTTGCAATGCACGTGGAAAAGGAAATGCAACGCTGAAGAAGCTGCATTTCTGTGTCCCTTAACATGAAGTCAGGAGGGGAACCTGTCTTATTTAATTATTTTGTAACATTTCCAAACTGCACATTCATCCTCACAGGATCCTGGGTGCTGCAGATGAAAGTATTAAATCAAACACAACGTAACAGCAAGAAAGATGTATAAATTATTTTGTTATAAATTGTTACAAAACAGAAAATGTGTAATGACACAGCTTTAAATAGATATGGCATAAACTGAACGTCAAGAGAGGTGGACCAAATATCCACACAAAGTGCCAGTTCAAACACTGCCAAGTGTTGTTAGGTCCTCAGCCCGTTGCATCATAGCAGATTGTGCGATCCTCAGAAGCATGTCAACACTGGTCAACACTACGTTGCAGTATCAGTCTTTCAGCTGTGTAAACGGCAAGAAATTCATTTGCATGGGCTCTGCATTCACTTCCAGGAAGCAGGTAAAGAACTGAAGAGGCTATATTCAAGAGTATTCCAATACAAGGGTCAGGATTAGAGGCAACTTCAGGGCTCCACCTTCTGGCCAAAGGCCAGAACAACAGCGCTGGCAGTTGCAGGATGGGCCCCACAGCTTGCTGCAGCGATCAGGGCCCTCACGAGCATCACCTGGAAGCCCTGAGGGAGGGATGCGCAGTCGAAGAACCGGCTCTTCCTTCCAGAAGCTGCTCAACAGTGATGGCTTTCTAACTCGCTGTGGTGCTGTGCAAAACCTTGGTTGTGGAATCCGCACTCTGGACCGACACCCGATCTCGCTCCTGGACCCTGCTGCCAATCCTTGGCTGCTGTTCCTGCCTCTGGGCCTTGCTTCCACTCCTGTTTCTGCTCCAAAAGTACCCTCTCCTTGTGCTGACTTTCTGGCTCTTGATTCCTGCTTTGTGCTTACCTAATACCAGTTTGGGATTTGGACTGGACTTTGGTTACTACTCGGGATTACGGTGTGGAGTCCTGGTGTTCGTAAGTTTAACCTGCTGCCACACCTTGGACTCTGACGACAAGGTTTATGTTCAACAACCGCCTTCAAATGGGGCTGTATATAAATATTAAGAGACGTTTTAAAATACAAATGAATAAGGTTGGAGCAAGCATTGGTTGTGTTACATCAGAGGATTCCTGAGACAAAGAAAGCCCAGTCATAATTACACACAGGTGTCGTGGCTGCAGATTACTGCCCTCCATTAGAAGAGGAGGAGCCAGGATCTTTGGGGTACCCCCTGTGGTTCCCCAAGAGCGGGAGCCAGAGGCAGAAGGAATCCATCCCATGGAAAGGATGAAGAGCTCATAGCTGCGGCTTCGGCAAAAGTCCAAACAGTCTGAAGGGGGGGGGGGATTTCCACAAAACTGCAGGCTGACTTAATTAGTCAGCTGTGCCAAGTTAGAGCTGGATTCAATGTTGTTCAGGCAGAATGCTGCAAACAACATTCTTGGACTTTGTTGATCTAACCGATATCTAGATTCCTGGCCTGTTTGTGGGACCTTCTTTCGGACACCCCCAGCTGACTTGAGCTTTGGACATGCATTAGCCATACGGCCTTGACCCTCGGACTGAAACCTACCATTCTTGAGAAGGTAATCTGGGGCTTGATGCATTCAAGCTCCTGCCCGTGAGCACACCGGGCTTAATCACCAGCAATTAACTCACCTTGCACAGACCCTTATTAAAGGGGCATGTGACATCCCATGGCCACAAGCAAGTGGGATAAGGCATATCCTGAAAGTTGCAGGCGCTTCAGACCCATAATAAAGCAGCAGTCCACGGTTAGGCCCAATGGGCAACCGATTCCATCCCTGCTTAAAACACTACGTATCATATTTATTCACAATCAACAGGTAGCGATAAACATGGATCATGCATCGAAAGAACCAACTGGTTTCAGTATGTGCTTCCAAGAGCAAGGGAGCTTCTGAAACTGCACAGGCAATGAGGCCAACCTTAGATTTCAACGAGTATCATGACTGCAACACCGGCCAGGGCGACTTATTTTATATTGTTATTTTTGCATTTTAACTTAATGTTTGTATTTTTTTAATTTAATGTTATAATTATTTTTTAACTTAACGTTGTAAGCCGCCCTGAGGCTTCGGCGAATGGGGCGGCATAAAAATGTTTTAATCAATAAAATAATAAATCAATAAACACCGTTGCTGAGCTGCTCTACATTCCAGGCTGCGGCTTCCTTGATGGCGTCCAGCCATCTCATATTCGGCCTCCCCTCCTCCTCCTGCCTTCAACTTCCCCCAGCATGACTGTCTCCTCCAGGGAGTCTTGCCTTCTTATGATACATCCATGGGACAACCTCAGTGTTGTCATCTTGGCTCTGGCTTGATTTGTTCTCGGTCCCACTTGTTTCTCTAGTGGTCCAGAATATTTGCTAAGCTCTCCTGCAGCACCATGTTTTGACTGCATCAATCTTCTTCCAGTCAGCTTTCTTCACTGTCCGGCTTTCACACCCATCCACAGTGACTGATCTTGGCCTTGGTATCCCGTGAAACAACCTTACCCTTGATTATCTTTTCTAGTTTCTTCATGGCTGCCCTTGCACACTTCAGTCATCTTTGAATTTCTGGGCTGCAGTGTCCCTTTGGATTGAGGACTGAGCCAAGGTATGTGAAATCTTGTTGACAGTAAAGTTCTGTATGTCTTCTGTAGTCATGATTTTTGTTTTCTTGATATTCAGCCTCAGTCCTGCTTTTACACTTTCTCAATCCAAAAAAAGGGCTAGATATAGGATAAAGGCTTCTTCTAAAGGAAGCATTGACAAACCCAACTGAAAAACAGAGTCTGAAAACAACACCTTCCTATGCACAACACAACACAACACACACAACTCCAGTCTGGTTTTGGGTCAGACTTGCACTTGCCATCTGCTTTCTATTGCAAACTTTAAGAAGAGAAACTAAAACTGAGATTACTGTTTGTTTCAAGTTCCTCAGGGAAGTGTCTCATGACTTCTCTTCAGCTGATATGGAAATCAGACATATCTGTATAAAATTATTGTTATTGTTTGCAACTACTTGGAACTAATTTGTAATAGCAAAGCACCAGTGGACTGGTATGTGCACAATGAAAAACAGCAAAGGAAGAAAAAGAGCTGGACGTTTGAACATCCTGAGGAGTATACTAAAAATGCATCAAGATGAGGAAGCATTTAGCAAAATATAGACACTGTCCTGAAAGCATTCAAGTCACATACAGGGTGAAGGTACTGCAAAGAAGTGGTGGAATTCATTATTTAGAGCCTTGGAAAAAAATCTGGAAAATTTTCCATTCTAATTTTTCCCCTCATCACCGTTTGCTACCCGTACTACACAAATCAGAATAAAACTATAACCGACAAAGTAAAACTTTGATCTTACTGGTTAATTATTCAACTCATATTTAACGTCCTGCAAACCGTTATAAATTTGCAGAGAGACTCAAGTTGCAATTTGGGTCATGCAAAGTCCTTGCATTAATTTCAACTTAGAGATACTGGTTGCATTTCATCATCCGGCCCGTGTAACAGCTTGACCGGCCTCCCATTCAATGGCACAAGAGTCCACGGTACGCTCATTAATTCCGAAGAGCTATTCAGCACCTCATCACCGAGAGAAATAATAGTCAAGAGCCGGGGACTGAGTGGCCCTCGGCGAGCCCGAGAATTGCAACTCTGACTGGGCGTGGCCTGGGCCAACGCACATATCCGGTTATAGGCGTAACTCGCAAGGCCGCCCTGATCCGGAGGCGGCTTGCGGGCGACGTAACAACTCTCGTAACGGCGCCCTAGGTGCTGCGCAGGCCTTGCGTTGCGCAGGAGCGAGCGCCCCTTCGGCTCCCAGGGAGCCCGCAGGCCCCTTTCGTGCCAAGGGGGGCAAGCGCGCCCGCGAACCGGCGCCCCTCCGCCCCCATTCTGCAGCGCGACGGGGCCGGCAGGCCGCAGGGAATCCCCGCGCGCGGCCCAGGCCCGACTCGCGCCCGGCGGAAGAGGCCAGAGGGGGCTCCCGAGCGCGTCCCGCACGCAGCCCGCCGCCTCCGCGGCCCCGCGGGGTCGCCGCGCCTCCGCTCACCTGGTCGCGACGCGCGCGGGCTTCCCGGCAGCGAAGGGGCGGCACGTCTGCGGCGGAGCGTCGCGTGCCCGCCCGGGGAACGTTCTCAGCCCGCCCCCGCGCGCTCCCCATTGGCTGCCTCGCTGCCGCTCCGGCCGGGTAGAACGTTGGGGAGCCGGGCGCGGCGCGGGGCGGGGCGACCTTCCCCGGCCGGGTGCTGCGCTGCGCTGCGCTGCGGGGGCCAGGGCGCGGGGGCTCCTCGCGCACGGGTTGCGCGTGCTTTGCGCTCGGCAGCAAGACGGAGATCCGCCTCATCACCCTCCGTGAGCTTGGCTTCCGGGGAAACGGCGGCAGGAAGGCTTGGCGTCTGAGTTAGCCTCCCCTCGTGCCTTGACGGATGTTTGCTTTTCTTACTCGCGAGGAAGGAGCCGCAAGATTGGAGCCGTCGGCTGCCATCCGCTGCAGGTTTAGAAGTGGCAGTTATACGCGAAGGCTTGCGTGGCTTTTGCCCACGTAGGCCCCTCGAGCGGGTTCTCACGGCGCAACGACCCTTCTGTCCCTCTCCGATTAGCTACCGTAGTCCTAGCTGGAGAAGTCTCTGATCGTCCCCAGGCGGAAGAGCACAGACACGTCTTGCAAAAGGCGGCTGTACTGCCTCGAAAGACGTTTTCCAAAATAACAAATTAAAATCTGTGTTCATTCCTAATACCTTTATTAGGAAAAACAGCGAAGAGTCTGGGAAGAGTGCAAAGGTTTCGCTGCAAAGAGTGACCCCTCTGGAAATGGCTGCAACAGGAGTCCCTCACGGAGGGTGCACGCCTTCTATCTAGTTCTTTATTATTATTATTATTATTATTATTATTATTGTTGTTGTTGTTGTTGTTGTTGTTGTTGTTGTTGTTGTTGTTGTTATTATTATAACATTTCTATGCCGCCCCTTGCCGAAACCTCGGGGCGGCTTACAACATGATAAAATACATTGAAATACAATAGTACATAATAAATTACCATTAAATATAAAAATACAAAAAATACATTGATTTACAAATACAAAATTAAAATTATCAGTATAAAATAAAAATATAGGAGGAGAAAGAGAAGGAAGAAGAAGTTGCCCAGGCCAGATCATATGTTTTAACAATTGAAATGATGTTTAAATAAAAAGGTCTTTACCTGGCGCCGAAAAACCAGTAACGACGGTGCCAGGCGGACCTCTTTGGGGAGTGAATTCCATAGGTTGGGCGCCACCGCAGAGAAAGCCCTCCTCCGGGTACTTACTCTCCTAATTTCTTTCATGGAGGGTTCCCGGAGAAGGGACTCTCCCGCAGATCTCAAAGGGCGGTCGGGCATATACGGACGTAAGCGCTCGTTCAGGTAGCCAGGACCCAAGCCATTTAGGGCTTTGTAGGTCATAATCAACACCTTGAATTGGGCCCGGGCTTCAATGGGAAGCCAGTGAAGCTGATGGAGGACTGGAGTCATGTGAGCATAACGCCCCGTCCCCGTCAGCAACCTGGCAGCTCTATTTTGCACCAATTGAAGTGTTCGGACTGTCTTCAGGGGAAGCCCCACGTAAAGCGCGTTGCAGAAGTCTAGGCGGGAAGTCACCAGCGCGTGTGTCACCGTCGCCAGGCAGTCGTACTCCAGGTAGGGGCGCAGCTGATTAATCAGCCGAAGCTGAAGGAAAGCGTTCCTCACTACCGCTGTCACCTGAGCTTCCAAAGAGAGCTCCGGGTCGAGGAGTACTCCTAAGCTGCGGACCTTATCCCTAAGAGGGAGTGTTGCACCATTCAGGACCAGGTCAAATCCACCCTCTCCGAAACCCGATCCGCCAACCAACAGGACCTCCGTCTTGTCTGGGTTGAGTTTCAGTTTATTGGCCCTCATCCATTCCCTTACCTCGGCCAAGCACCGGTTCAGCACAGCCACTGCCTCACCTGGATTAGTGGAGAATGAGAGGTAAAGCTGGGTATCATCAGCGTATTGATGATTCCGCAGCCCACACCTCCTGATGACCTCTCCCAGCGGTTTCATATAGATGTTAAATAGCAGAGGGGATAGAATGGAGCCCTGTGGTACCCCATGGCATAGCTGCCATGACGTAGAGACATGGTCCCCCAGCACTACCTTCTGGAATCGACCGTCGAGATAGGAGCGGAACCACTGCAAAGCAGTGCCTCCAACCCCCAATCCCGCAAGTCTATCCAGAAGGATACCATGGTCGATGGTATCGAAAGCCGCCGAGAGGTCCAGAAGAACCAACAGGGATGTACTCCCCCTGTCCTTCTCCCTGCACAGGTCGTCGTACAGGGCGACCAAGGCAGATTCAGTACTGTACCCGGGTCTGAAGCCGGACTGAAAAGGATCCAGATAATCAGTTTCCTCCAAGAGTGCTTGGAGTTGTCCTGCCACCACTCGCTCCAACACCTTGCCCAGAAACGGGATGTTGGCCACAGGTCTATAGTTAGTGGCCATCTCTGGATCCAGTGACGCTTTCTTCAGGACCGGTCGTATTACCGCCTCCTTTAAAGGGGCAGGCACTCGACCCTCCCTCAGAGAAGCGTTAACCACTTCCAAGATCCAGGTCCCAATCCCGTGCTTGGAGTTATTTATTAACCAAGACGGGCAAGGATCCAATAGGCAAGTGGTGGGACGTACTCTTCCAAGCACCTTGTCCACATCATTGGGCCGCAATAATTGAAATTCCTCCAGTAATTTTGGACCAGACGGTGGCATTGGCGACTCCTCAGAGACCTCTGATTCATTAGTGGAGTCCAGCTCGTGACGAATCTGAGCGATTTTCTCCCTGAAATGCCTGGCAAAGTCGTCACAGCGGGCCTTTGAGGGTGGCATCGGATCTTCCTTAGGACCCAGGCGAACCAGGCCTTGCACCACTCGAAAAAGCTCCGCTGGACGGCATTGTGAGGAGGCAATGGAAGCGGAAAAAAACTTTTTTTTCGCCGCCTTCACCGCCACAGCATAGGCCCGATAGTGGGCTCTCAAGTGTGTTCGGTCAGATTCATCCCGTGATTTCCTCCACCTACGCTCTAGCCGTCTCCCAGCTCGCTTCATCGCCCGTAATTCAGGTGTATACCAAGGGGAAGAGCGGACTCTGCCCGGTGGGAGAGGACGCTTAGGAGCGATCGTGTCCACAGCCCTGGTCATCTCTCCGTTCCACAGTTCGACCAGAGCCTCGACAGGAGCACCAGTCTTGTCAGCCGGAAACTCCCCCAGGGCCCCCAGGAATCCATCCGGATCCATCCGGCTCCGGGGGCGGGCCCATACAATCGGGTCCGCACTCTTATAGAGGGAGAGGCCACTCTCGAGCACAAACCTCACCAGGAGGTGATCTGACCATGACAGGGGAGTCAAACATAAGTTCTTCACCCTCAGGTCATCCTCTACCTGCCCTTCCTCAGGCAAGGTGGTAAACGGATCCAAACAGGGGCAGGAGGACAGTGGCTGATGCAAGTTCTCATCTGATATTTGGGATTGGCCCATTTCTCCCTTTTTCCCTGCTACCCTGGCCTGATTAAGAATTCTGAAGACCCCCAGAACTTGCACAGGTTGTGGGGTCCTCTGCATTGGCCCAATAAAGATGCACCGATATCGATTTCCTGCATTTTTCTTATAACTGTAGTCTAATACATCTGGAAGGGACATTGTTAGAGAAGGCTAGCTTAGAAGAACGGTGCGATAAAAATGTAACAGGTGGAAAACTCTCACCTGAAAAAGTGCAGATATTCCGTGAGAGGCTAGAATGGGCCAAAGACATCTCTTGGATAGCCGAGGGATGTGGTCGTTATGCTGGGGGTGAGTCTCGCTGAATTAGCGAGATGCAGCAGGACTGCTTCCCGAGTAGCCACATTGTGAGTCCGCAATTCCGTACACACTTACCTGGGAAGAAGTCCCATTGAGCTCAGTGGATTCATCGAGTTCTGTCAGATTACCACAAGCTGAATGGTTTGTTGCGGTAAAGGACCGAATATGCCAACCCAGGACCTTTATTTGCAAAAGCTATTAGTATTTATTAGTATCGGATGCAGATGGTGCAGCTCCCATGTTTTGGGGTGTTTTCCAGGCCAGGAGGATGACAACTCTGGAGAGAGTTGGTGCTTAACCTGTGCCAGGTTTGAGGAATTTCATATTCTCTTCTCTGTACATCATCTGGTCTACAGGGGATCTGAGACCTCTAGAGGCTGGAGTGCAAGTCCCATCACTCCTTCCTTTTGTCTTCTGGCTAGGACTGAGATTGCGATGGCAATCCAACCACACCGGGAGAGCCTCTTGTGTCCCAGCACTACCCTAGCGCATCAGCCAGGTTTTGCAAACTGACAGCACGGGGTTCTGGAGAACTTGGGGAAACAAACCTGAACTGCCTGGCCACTGGGACTGGAGTCTGGTGCTTCTCTTTGCAGCGTCTGTTTCTCGGCCCCTGCTTACATTGTTGTAAAGCGCCCAGAGAGCTTCAGCTACAGGGAGGCATTTGTTGCTAGACGCAAAGTCGTGTCCGACCCATCGCGACCCCATGGACAACACCCCTCCAGGCCTTCCTGTCCT